GCATATGGGATTTTATCTTCCGTGGATTTCAGCGAGGTTCGCCCATTTAGGGCTGAACTATGACTTGTCTTGGCCACTTTATCAATTCAATTGCTTTTAGTTTTCAATCAATTTTCCTCATACCTCTTTATTCCACATCCCCAATTCTACGTAGGTATTGGCTTGATCGCAACTGGAAATGTCCTCCCCGTATTCTTTCCTCCGCCTCGTCGCAAGCAAAACCGCGTGTTCTCGCAAATTGTTCAACCTCTATATCCCTTGTTACGTGAAGCCAAACTCCTCTGCTCGCCGTACAGGTATTACGAACGTGGGCGCTGATAAAGTCGAGATTTCCGTGGCTGCTGTTCCACGCGACGGGGCGGCTAATATTGCAGTGTCGCATATCTTTGCAGAGGTGGGAATTACCCTTGATGTGTTTCCTTCCTTCCCGTCTTGTCTATGGAAAAAGGTCACAAATTCCCATTGACTATTTGTTAGATCTTCAAAGTTCCGAAATCGAGCGTCGAAGTTATTCGTGGCGCGAAATCACGAGAGAAGACGTTGTGTGTTGCCGACCTGGCGATCGGAGACGACGGCGAACAAGCATACTTGCAGCGTGCGACACAGAAATTAAAGGCCGCTGTCAAGATACGAAACTACTAGCAAGAACTTCGAATCTGGAGATTGTTAGTTCCCACCTCATATTTTCACACAACTCGACTATTTGATCCCGTGACGCAAAGACCCCTGTTTTTTCTTTTGGCGGAGCTCCCGGCGAACATCAACGTCCGACCACCCGACAGTCCAAAGAGCCAGCAGTATGACACAGGGTGCACACTGCGACATGGAAATTGACACTGATGCCTCTTTAACGGAAACTGCGAAGCGCAAAGCGCCAGAGCCCAAGCCAAAGTCTCTCCATTTTACGTCGCGCAATCCACCCTGGACGTACCTCAAGCTCAAGCTGTAAGCTACCCGTCCGCTTTCTTCATTTTGACACTAGGTGGGAACTCCCTGTCGGAAATCAAGCTAAACATGAAATATTAGTGTCCCCCAACCAGGAAGTACACCACAGCCCCTCGATCCCCTCTCCGCACGAACCTACCTCTCCTCCGCATTGTCGCAATTCCTCGGCTTGACAGGAACAGCCATCCCGATCGACATCCTGAAAATCGAAAATGGTCCTTCCGCAACCACGAAACACGATATCGTGTGGATTCGAGTTGCTCGCGAGGATGCCTCGGCCGTCGTGAGCGCAGTGAGCTCATGGATTGGCGGCGGAAATAATTCTGCTGGCTCTGCGGATGTTGCATGGAGGGTTTGCGCCAAGGGAAACTTCCTAGGCGCCCTGGTTGCGGGCTCTGGGGCCGATTTGTTCGTCCCCTAGGCCTGTGGTTTGTACTCCTGCTTCAAAGCGAGTACTACGAAAAATGATTTTGAACTATGGCTAGTCTATATTTTGACTCTTTGTCAAATGGTTGACCTCTGACCGTGGTGAAGCCCATGCGACTCTGGGACTAGTGGCATGGTGAAGGTGTAGCTGCACGGCTGCTGCATTTAGCCCCACGATACATGCGACAACGATGCCAGCTCCAAAAGGAACGGGATTGCCTCGGTCCGGTACCGTGAGCCCGGCCGCAATCGAGTGCTTGATACTGAGTTTGTATCATCCAAGGCTCCTTAGGATGGAGTAAGACAGATGACACTTAGCCTACATCGGCGGCTGAAGATACGTAGCACTTTTGGCAAGTTCATTTGCAATAAGGAAGGAAATGAATCGATTTTGAGCCAATATCAATATATGTACGCAACTGCAAGACAAGAAAGAACTCCTTTTTTTTGTGGTTCGATTTGCGAGTCAACATGACTCGACTGAAAACGCCATAACTCACACGCTGGTCAAGTATCACAAACAATTTGATGCCGTTTATTTGAATGCTCATTTCATTCTCATCTGCCAAGAAGATTACCTTCTGCATCCCCCCTTGGCTGTTGATGACAAAGTTGCAAGGAATATCAGACTGATGATGTAGTGGTCTTGGGGCGGAGGCTTTCCACCATTGTAGATGTATCGGACGCCGCAGATGACGGGCCGACAACCACCTTGGTTCTAAGGGCGCCACGAATATCCTCGACGCTCCGCTGTTGCCAGTCAGGGTATCCCAACTGGCTAAGAGGGAATAGAACGAGGTTTTCAGCGCGTGACATGAAGTCATCGACATCTGGTCGGGGAGTGGCAGTCATGATGTCCATTTCCACGGCGATCTGTCGGCAGTATGTGTCCAGTGGAAGATCGTTCACATCGTGACCGAAGGGGTTCTCAATTTCACTGCCGATTGTAGCCAAGCCAAGGATGATATAGGCAGCCACTTTAGGGTCCATTAGAATTGATCTTGTAAACCTGTGTAAGTGGGGTGATTCAGTTGTACTTACCAATTGATGCTGGGATAGTAATCCATTCTAAGGCAGCGTAGAGCTGGAATGGAAGTACCAGGATGTAGATCCATGAAATCTGAGCAATAGCAATGCTGTATGCGGTGGGCAAGGGGGTGTCCAGGACACGTTCTGTGCCGGTCAAAACCTCATTCAAGGTGGCCATCATGGTGACTTTATTGGGTTAGTGTTGGAGTGCCTCAAAAATAGGGGGTGGAAGTCTTACTAGCTTGTCCCTGGTGCAGAGTTGAAACCATAGTACCGTTGGCTACACATGAATCGATATACGCGGACAGATGGTTAAGGATCTCAAGGGGCAAATGCCCAAGAGGCTTCTTAGACCGCTTAACATACTTCCGAGGGTTTGACTCGGCGAAGGACACACCCAGGTACTCTCCTGCGGACTTCCAGATAGACTTAGGTGGAGGATTGACAACCATGCGGTCATGAGCATCACGGGCAAAAGTGTCAAGGTGCCCAGCCAGGCCAGCCAGATCTTCATATGCGATATCGGGTTCGAAGCGAAGCTTGTGTTTAAGAGAGACGGCGAAGGCCAAAATGAGGTTAATCGCGGAGCTATACGGGGTTGTTAGAATTAACAATATCAAGATGCACTCCGCAGTGGTCTCACGTACAGTTTCCTCAAGACATCGTCTTTTCCTTCTTCACCTTCTCTCTCGGCGGTATTGATCCAAATTGTACGCGAGAGGTTGCGAGATGTCTGAATAAGCTGGGCCCAATATTTGCGCCCGTCTGCCCATCTGTAGTGCAAGCCGGGTTAGTGCATGACTCGAGTCAAAAGCTAAAAATGAGTCAATAGTATACCTCTCATATGCAGTTGAACTGCGGAATGACAAAGCCAAACCCACCACGAAACCCAGCACGGTGAGCAGGATGTTGTTGATACCAACTTGTTTGAGTTAGTATGTAACTACAGGCAGTTCTTCCGTACATCACTTGGGACTACTCACGGGGATGGACCTTCTTCGAAAAGACAGTAATAGCAGTCGACCAAATAGCGACAGTCAAAAGCGGCAGGATCATTTTCGGCATGACGCTGCCGTGCATTCGCATCATGATGGGCCATTTGGAGTGCTTTTCCATGTTCCGGGGGCCATGCTAAATCAATGTTATGTTAGCCCGCCAATCTATGAACCTATACTATGTTCCTGTCCTTCTGTTCGTCTGCTACATAGACCATCTCATCCCATTGACTTACAAAGTATCGGTCCAATTCGCTCGAATCCCGTCGATCAAACTGGAACTGCGAGTCTCTAGAGGTAGCCAGATTTTCCAAGAAGGTTGGTCGAGGAGTCATGCGGCCAATGGAGGAGGCCTGCTCCTTCTCATGGGTCGCTGCCGCGTGATGATGGGCGGTCGAGCGTAAATCTGCGGGGACTGGCGCAGCAGTGGAGTCTGATGCTGCTGCTGGTGCTGGAGCATCAGACGAAGGGGCACCGTGGCCGTCAGTCATTGTGAGACAATAAAGATTAGAAAAGAAAGGAAAAAAAAAGAAGGTGAATGAAGCCGGAACTGGGCCGGTTCTGATCTCAATAGATTCTAGAAGAAAGGAAAGATAAAAGCGAAAGTAGAATGGGCGAAAAGAAGAAGAGCAAAAATAAGGAAAAAAGGGAAAAAAGCAGGGGAAGTCAAAGTGAAACGGCGTTCGCTTGACAGGGGCCGTTTCAACGGGATCTAGACTGTTGGTGGAGCCGACGGACACGTCCGCATGTTTAATTTTAGCCCATCAGGGGAACCTTGAAAATATTCTGTGTTTCTATTGGTCTATGCAGATTTCTCGGGGCAATTTCTGGCGAATCGTCGGGATCGAGATTGTGCTAGGGTTAGTGCTACAGAATATCGATTCAAGTACGGAGTATGGAGTACTAGGGTAGAACATTATAAACCTAGATGCGGCAGACCTGTTGGACAAAAAGAAAAAGCCCAAAAAAGATAAATAAATTAAAAATGGATAAAATTTGAAACAGAGGTATTGATCGTCATCTACTAGTTGTTCTAAGTGCTCCAATGTAAGTTTTCTCTCTAGGCTATGAACTGGGAAGGGGTAGAATTAAGCTCACGCATCTGGTACTTTGTGAGTTTACAGATCCTAATTGTTCAGCAAACCCCATAAGTTCACAAGTTCATATTATATTTGCAGTACGGAGGACCTCCGTAATTTATAGTACTTCGTATATCAATTTCCTAATTGGGAGCTGACAGCTTCACACTAATCCCAAAAAAGGAAAAGGGATCCGGTTCGTATGTACCCCTGTTTTCCCGGAGGCTCGGCCTTTCACATTTTCCCACTTCGCGGGTGTCAGAGGGGAAATGGATGAACAAAAATCAGTCGAAGCATTGCTAAATCTAGATGAGATTGAAGATGTTGCTACTAGAATAGTGAACAAAAAGGCATGGGCCTATTATTACTCGGCATCCGACGACAAGATCAGCAAGTACAAAAACACCGAGGTCTTCCGCTCCATCCAATTGAGGCCAAAGGTCTTTGTCGACTGCAGGAATGTGATTTAAACACAAAATTGCTAGACAACCACGTCTCTATCCCAATTTATGTTTCCCCAGCAGCTATGGCCCGGCTGGGTCACCCCTCCGGTGAAGCTGGAATCGCAGAAGCATGTCGCAGCTTCGGTGCCTTGCAGATAATTTCAAACAGCGCCTCGATGACGCCTGAACAGATCGTTGCGGGCGCCGCCCAGGCCAAGTATTTGGCTGGCAACTATATGTGCAGAGCGACCGTACCAAGAGCGAACGTTTGCTGGCTCGAATCAAAAAACTGGGTGCAATCAAGTTCATTACTTTGACACTGGATTCCCCCCGTGACCGGGAAAAGAGAGGATGACGAGCGCAGCGGCAACGTCATCGGTTCTGAGGCTCCATATCAGAGTGACAGCAATGGCACGGGTCCAATCATCCAGACTGAAGACCCAGTATTCAAGGGGATGGATCCTTCTCTTACATGGGCAGAGACCCTGGCGTGGTTGGCAAAGCACACCGAACTTCCGATTGTTCTTAAGGGAATCCAAACACACGAAGATGCGTATATTGCCACACAATATACACCCCCAGGTCAAAGGAATCATCCTTTCAAACCACGGTGGTCGATCTCTCGACACGGCTCCTCCTGCTGTCCACACCCTGCTCGAAATCCGAAAATACTGCCCTGAGGTCTTCGACAAGATTGAGGTATGGGTCGATGGCGGGGTCAAGAGGGGAACTGATGTGGTCAAGGCTCTCTGTTTGGGTGCCCGCGGCGTTGGAATAGGAAGAGCTGCGCTCTGGGGTTTGGGGGCCGGTGGAGTGAATGGCGTAAAGAGAACATTGCAAAGTATGACCAGCGAAGCCTAGGGCTTTCTGAGGAGCGACTGGCTGACAGATCTTAGTTTTGACTGACGAGACCAAGACATGTATGCGACTTCTCGGAGTGAAGAATATTGATGAACTTGGGAAGCAACATGTAAGTCTGCATATGTGCCTTGGCTGGCTAGATTGATACCTCAGGCTTCAAGTGAACTGACCGATATGTTCGTCTAGATAAACACTCGACTGGTAGAGAAACAGATCTATGATGGGCCATCTGGTCTGGAAGCCTGTCAGACAATCAGCCGACCGAAACTGTAGAATATTTCGAATTGCTGTAGGGGAATCTGATCAGTGAAAGAAAAACCTTCTTGGTAGTTTGGCCCACCTCTGCGTAAATTTTGTCTCGCTGCCTCTAGATCTACTTTGTCTCTCTTCTGCCCAGCTTGGTTAGAATACGAAACCATCAGCAGCGAGGCCTAGCTGATCTTCTCAGATTCCATATTCCATACAAGGACCTGGAAGTTCCTCTTGCCTTGTCCCTCGTTCCTTCGCCTCGCCTCATCCTCTTGTCACCTGTTTTCGCCTTGCCGTCCCATCTTGGTCGTTCGTTTCGTCGGCTTTTAATTGATCTCAATTTTTCAACGACTTCCCCCCTACCGTCGTTCTTTCGTTTATGATCTCGGCTTCTTTGACATCATGTCTTCACGAATTCTGACCGACCTTCCCTTCGAGATCTTCTGGCTCATTGTGAAGAGCCTTGACTCGTGCGAGAGAGATATCAACGCTCTGGCCCAAGTGAATCGGGATCTTTACGCTCTCCTCAACCCTTATCTCTATCGCCTTAATGTCCATAACCCTTCCAATCCTGCTATTGCTTGGGGCGCCTACCACGGTCAGGAAGCAACCGTTCGAAAAGCCCTAGAGCAGGGCGCCTGGACAAGATCTACTTTCGGCGCAGGTAAATCACCAGAGCCAATAACCCTTGCAGCATTGGCTGGTCACGCGAATATTGTCAAGCTGCTCCTCAATCATGGAGTCCAACCAATGAAAAGATGGGACTGGAATGACAATGGCACTAGACGGACGGACGTAATGGATTGGGACTATACCGGCTTAGGTCCAATCCGAGACTGGCCCCCCTGGACAGCCGCACTTGTTAGAGACCGCGCGGAAGTCCTGCAAGTCTTGATTGATGATGCTGGATTCGTGTCGCGCTTTTTCGATTTTTTCAAGCTCTTACCTAATGGCGATGGCTACTTTGACACCATTGAAGGCTTTGAGACGTTCAAAGTTCTCGTGAGAGGCTGTCCCAAATGGGAATATCATGTTGAACACCAGTATGCCGGGATATTGAGCTTGGCAATTCATGACTCAATCGGTAACCTCGAAGTCATGCGCTTCCTTGTCGACTCAGAATGTCCAGTCAACTACCCAGACCTCTGGGGCCACACCCCGTTGGCGTACGCAGCGGATGCCGGCAACGTCGAGACGGTAGAATTCTTGTTGGACCGTGGAGCCGATCCCGATCCCGGAATCCCATGGCCGCTAAGACTTGCCGCAGAAAAAGGACATGTCAAGGTTGCAGAACTGCTGTTGGAAAGGATTGACGTCCGACGCAAAATTACTAGTGGAGATGACCTTGGCTACTTTACTCGGCGGCGGCCTGTGGGTTTGAGAAGATTGTGCGAGCTTGCCTGGATGCCGGATGCAACGCAGATCGAAGGCTGTACGTTCGCTATTCTCCTTTCACACGTGTGGATGATAAATCATCCAGGTATCCATGGATGGGTATTATTCGACGCCGCTAGACTGGGCCCGTTTAAGAGGCCACTCTGCAGACGTGCGTCTTCTCGAGAACGCTAGAACAGCTCTGTGACCCATGGATATTACTCTGTAGTACAAGAAATACGATCATAACACGATGGAATAATTCACAACTCCTGCAGCTTTTACCAATTTGGTCCTTCCGCTCATGTATGCAGTATGAGTGGACAGTGGATTGTAGATATTTAGATGTATTCTCTAGAACAAAAGAGCACTGTCCAAGCTGGAAAATCCTGCGGCTACACCACCTTCATTCACCTCTTTCCCTTTAGTCCGCAACAGATATCCGCCTTGTTCATTGTGCAAGATCTTCCCAGTATTTTCCCAAAGAATGGTACCGTAGACACCAAGCTCAGAGATGACATTTCCTCGAATAACCTCGCCATCATTCCGCAAGGCAACATTCTGGGCATTGGGTGCAGGGTTGATGAGTTCCATAAGCACCCAGCCTCTCCAATCAGATTCTGGCATGGATCGCAAAAATTCTGGAATATCAGATTTGTAGACATTGTTGCCACCCCCTTCACGCTGTGGTTTGAGCACATGGTTCAGGGCTGTATCTGGATTGAGGGCTAGGTCGCGGCCTTTACTGTTAACCGACAGGTCATATTGCGGAGCGAAGGTTCCTCGAACCCTTTCAACAAGCGCAGTATCAATGCCCTTCAAGAAGCTTGAGAGATGATCTGGTCCTGTCGGCTCCGCTAAGACCTGCTGGACTTTCTTGCAGCCAGACAGCTGATTGAGCACGGTGGGACACTTGATCGCTGCCGAGCGCTCCAGATGAGTTCGGGCCAGCCAGTCACGGCTGGATGTGTACTCGTCTGGTGAATAGTAAGCCCGAAGATAAACCGTTGTTACCTCGAAGGTTGAGTCGGGAGAGTGAGGGGGGTGGTAGAACAGTGGTCGCGAGGAGTTTGAGCTGGGAATGGAGGTATGATCCAAGACGTCGACGCTGGCAACACGGAAGACTGGAATGTTGTGAACTGTCTTAAGCTGTGTGGAGAGCGCATGCTGATCAAAAACGTTCCGTTCTGTTTCCTGGACTACAAAGAGAACACAAAGAGGGAGAGCCGGGGTGGACTTGGACACCCCGTAGGCCTCATGGGCTGCTGCCAAACCTGCTGAGAGGGTTTCCACTGCGGTGTTTTCTGGTGGAATCTCGGATTGTAGCAGAGGGTGGGGCGGATAGTTGATTGGGGAACCCGGCGGCGAGGCAAGAAGCTCGGTGTGCATCTGTCGCACAAGAGCTGAGAGACCACCAAATGATGATGAGATCGTGTTGAATTCAACCTGCTTTAGCGCTGTGACACCTGTAGGCAGAACATGGGCCATGTAATCAGACCGGAAGAGGCCCAGTGACAGGTTTTGAACATATCCCTCCTTTTGGACATCCAGATGAACCTTCCACAAATTCGAGACAAAGTCATCAACTTCAATGAGCCTGCCAATGGCCAGTAATTAGCAATTTACCATGCTGGAGCGGATAGGTCCTTACCCTTCCACAATTTCCCTCAACCATTCTTCATTGCATGTGATCGCAGCATAAAGTTCATTGTAGATCTTTTGGAGAGCAGTCGCTTCCTCGAAGCAAGTTCTGGGAAACGGACTGGGGAACAACGTCACTGGCGCATTTGTAGCCAGCACACCATTTGAATCTGCCTCAGTTGGAATAATTGCTGGGGATGGTCGAACAGCAAGACCATTTTGAATAGCCCAGTCTTTCACAGTTGTGACGAGAAACTTTTGTTGAGCTGGGGACAGGCCTGGCGGATATTTTGAATAAATTGATTCTGCCATATTTCTAGTGAACAAGAACTGATTTACCGCACTCAATGACCTAAGTTGCGCAAGCGTAGACTTTTCAAAGATTCCGACCTCACCGAGGCTCCAGGGCTTCGAAGGAATTCTGGGGATTTGTAATTTGGCGGGGCAATTGTTGACACCTGAGGCAGAAATACGAGACGCGAACCTGAGACCGCCCGGATCTTCCGCCTTCCGTTTCGAGATTGTTTGCCCTGATCTAGCCTAAAATAGCTCACCGCCTATTGAAATACTGGCACAAAAAAAGAGCTTCACGTATAACACGCATTGATTGCCTAGGTGGGAAGGAGGAGGGTTGTGGACGTGTTTTTTTTTTATTGTCCCTTTTCTTTTCTTTCTTCTCTTCTCTCCTTATCCTCCCACCAAAACTCTTCCTTTCTTTCATCCATCTTACTTTGAACGCTTTGCTTCATACTTGAATTTGTATTGACATCGGAAATGACTTACACTGGGGGCTTCGACATGGTAAGTCACATGCCCGTCTCACATTGACTCTTGCCCAGTCACGTCCTCGAGATAAATGCGCGACTATCTCGTCTGAACCGCCCACTAATCCAATACAGGCCCCCCGAACAAATATGTCGTTAATGAAAGACCCCCAAGACTGGACGGTCGACGAGCTTGTTACATTTCTCTGCCATGACAAGCCTGGAGACTGGTCCTACAATTTGGTTTGTCCAGATCTCGTGAAGCTGGAGGCGTCCCTCCGAGAGAATTCAATCTCAGGCTTAAGTTTTCTTGACATCACGGACGACCATGTGAAGGAGCTGGGTATCAAAGTTATTGCGCAGCGCCAGTATGTGCTGAAAGCCTGTAAATGGCTACAGCGACGCTCGACAAAATATCAACTGGACCAATTGGAGCAACAGCGGCCACTTGTCAATGAACAGCAACGTTCAGCAGGCCTCAATGACAACAACTCGACTTCAAACCATCCCACCCACCCCAATGTCTCTTCTACACTGCTCCCAACAGGGGAGAAAAGACGCCGGGTCGGGACGACCATCGCGGCACGGCCGTCCACACCTTCTCTCCCGGGGCCCCTCACCCCAGAAGGGCCACGTGCACCCATCTTCGATGATGGGTTCTTCGAGCGTCTCCTGAGTGCCTACCCACCGGACGACACTGAGGTCCTCCCACTCCTTGGAGGATCCGGGTCCGAAGGGGAGTACGACACGGAGACCCGCGAAGAACTCGGAGAGGATGGGGAGCAATCCCGCGCAGGTACTCCCCCGGATGCTGCTGGGGGCCTCGGAGAGGCTGAGTTCAATAAAATAGTGGACCAATACATCGAGACACGGAAAGCTCAGTTCATCGAAATTCGTCTGCCGAAAGAGCAGGCCAAAGGATTTTACATTTGGAACGAGGGCCAAAAGTCCCCGGGTATGAAGAACGAGATTTCGACCCAGCTCGCCCACCTGGAGAAACGTTCCCAAAGTCTTCGCAAAGCACTTGCTGAGGCACAACACTCTTCTCGCTCGTCTTTAGTCAAGGCATGCGCGTGCCTCGACCCCACTGTGGCCGATATTTGCTTGTATCAATGGAAGCTTTCCATTCTCGAGCAGATTAGCCCGCCGCCCAAACTTGCTCGCCCGCCACGCACCACACGACCAGAAAAGCCCACTGTGAACTCGGACGGTGAAGAAACTCTCAGTTCCGATTCGGATTCCACGCACGGTATCGGAGACATGGAACACAAGTCTCCGGAACAATCGGAAGACGGTCTCCGTCTCGTCTCGAGTTCTGATATTTCTGAACCCGAAGAGCACCAGGTTGTACAGGACCAAGAGGTGCCACGTTCTCGCGAAGCTTATCAAGTCGGACCGTTCCGTGACTACTCTTCAGATGAGGATCTCGGTCACCTTTTTTACAAAGATGAAAATTACGAGCCACCAGTGGCCAAGAGGCGCCGCCTGGAGAAGGATATCTTGGATCAAGGGTCTCCAATACCACCATTGCCACCGATAACAACCATGCCGTTGAAACCGGACATTGCGCTACCCTCGAAGGAACGTGACGGAGGGGGTCAGACGGGGGCCAATACATATCCTGTCGACCCGATGCATCTCAAAACACATGAGTCCGTGGACCCGGCGAGTGACAACGGCAGTGAAACCGATGAGGCTGTGTTGGTTTTTGACGACGTCTATTCCATGATGTGGGCAACTATTGAGGAGAGTGGAAACAGAATTCACCTGTTGGCGAAAGCTCTCATGGACCTGCGTAAGAATCGTCTCCGCCAACTTCTCGAATTTCTCGTCAAGTACATGCCATGTGTGTATCCAGAACATGCGCGAGATGCGCTAAAAAGCATGTGCGAAGACTCGTCGGCGATGGAAGGATGGGACCCCGAGGAGAGTCATTGTACAATGTTGATGACTGCCTTGTTTGTGTCCTGGGTTAATGTTATCCACGTCCCTATTGGCGCCTTTAGGGCAAAAGAAGTCAAGGCTGCGCTTGTGGCTGTCAGAGATGAAGAGGAAAACCAATTCGCCCCGTTCTTCAAATGTTTGAATGACCTTCTTCGGGGGTACAGAAAATGGTTGAATTTGCCATATCGTCTCCAATCCGACGAAATGAACACAGCCATTCGGCGCGACAAGCAGGAATTCACCGACGACCAAATGACCCTGACACCGGTCCAGAAGGAAGGCAAAGAACGGGAAGACAAAGCATTTCTTACGTCTCGGCTTGCCCACGGGCATGCTCATCTCGAAAATCTCTCAAAGCCGGTTTCTTTCCGAATTCCCATGATATACCTGGACCCCCGCATTGCGCAATATGTCAAACCCCACCAGCTCTCTGGGATTCGGTTCATGTTCCGAGAAATCGTTGAGAACAGAAGTGAAGAAGGGTGCTTGCTAGCCCACACTATGGGGTTGGGCAAGACCATGCAAGTGTGAGTTATGATCATCGTGATATTGACTGATTTGCTAGGACCCAGCTAAACCCTTTCTGGATAGGATATCCCTTCTCGTTACAATTTCCAAGGCCGGGGCATCACCGGATCCGGCAATTCGTGATCAAATTCCCAAAGAATTGCGACAGTCCAAAACTCTGATACTGTGCCCAGCATCGCTAATCCAAAATTGGCACGACGAGTTCGCAATGTGGCCACCCACGAACCACAAACTTGGCAATATTCGCTCCATTCCAACAAAAAACCCGACCCTTGACCGAACCGAAGAGATTCGCGCGTGGAATGACGAGGGTGGTATACTGATCCTCAGCTACAACATCTTCCGCATTATTACCAAGGACAATGTGGGAAGGAAGGAAGACCAGGGACAACAATCGGTCAACGAAAGTGTCAAGAGTTTGGTGTTGAACAGCCCAACTCTTGTTGTGGTCGACGAAGCCCAGAATTTACGCAACCAAGGAAGCCAAATTTCCGAGGCAGCCTCCCGCTTACGCACCCGGAAACGGATTGCTCTCACTGGCACTCCGATATCCAATGGTTTGGAAGATTACTATTGGATGGTTAATTGGGTTGCCCCGCGGTTCCTTGGAAGCTTTGCGAAGTTCAATGAGGATTTCATCAAGCCAATCGAAAATGGCACGCAGATTGAAAGCCAAAATTTCGACAGAAGAAAGGCACTCCAGTGCCAGGAGATGTTCCTTCGCCTCATCGAGCCCAAGGTACAGCGAGCGGACATGTCCGCACTGGCAGTCGATTTGCCACCAAAGTACGAGTTCTCTGTTTACTTTGAGCTGACAAGCCTCCAAAAAGCTTTGTACAACATCTTCGTTCAAGGTGTGGGAAGGGAAGCGGGTGTCCGCCCGGAGCTTATGTCTTGGCTGCCACTTCTTAAGCTTTGCTGTAATCACCCGGCCATTTTCAAGGCAGATCTGGAATCCCGGAAGAGCAAGAATTCAAGTGGCGAACAAAAAGGTCCTAGCAGTGATGGTCCCAGTGGTAACCTTGGCTCTAATGTGCCCGTCGAAGAGCAAATAATTACAAAATCAATTTTACCTGAACTGGATGATGCGTTCAAGGAGGCTCCAGACTTGCTGGATCCCAGCCTATCCAGCCGAGTGATGATTCTCAATGAGATTATCAACCAGGCTATCACACTCGGGGACAAGGTCCTGGTGTTTTCGGGCAGTATTCCGACACTGAAGTATCTGGCGCAAGTCATGGACAAAACGCAGAGAATGTATGCTCTCCTTGAGGGCAGTATGCCTGCGGGTAAGCGTTCCGAGATAGTTCGGGGATTCAACGACGATCCCTCGACCTACGTGTTTCTGATTTCAACCAAAACGGGTGGCGTTGGCTTGAACATCCAGACCGCGAACCGAGTTGTCATTTTCGATTTCCAGTTCAACCCTACATGGGAGCAGCAGGCAATCGGACGTGCCTACCGCATTGGTCAGAAGAAAAAAGTTTTCGTGTACCGAATGGTCGCTGCTGGAACCGTCGAAGAGAAGATCTTTAGCAAAACTATTTTCAAGAGCCAGCTTGCGGGCCGCCTTCTCGATGATGAGCACGTTGCTCGCATGGGCTCAAAGGCCGAAGAAAAGTACCTAGTTCCGTGGTCGAAAAGTGCCCAGCAAGAGGGAATTTGCCCCGAGGCGCTAGCTAAAGACCCGGGAACACTGGAGAGGATAAAATCCTCTAAGTGCGCCCAGTACATACTCTCGATCAAGCAGGTAGACCATGAAGAGGATCCAGACGATGTTCTGACTGCCGAGGAGCGGAAGACTGTGGAGGATGAGCTCGAACTGAGACGTCTTCGTATTAGTTCCGAGGAACTGTGAGTTCCTCTCGAGCCCCCTTTTCTCGTCCCTTTTTCTTTTTTTCTTTTTTTTTTTGCTTTTTTGTTCTTTTTCTTTTCTATTTGTTCGAGTGATACCCATATGTATGTAGCGATGATTTGTAAGATTTTCTTTCCCCCCTTTTCCTAGTACACACAGTAAACGCAGACGTAGTAAACATACCTACATACCTACACATACATGTACAAAATATGTACATATAGGTATCTCGAGGCTCCGAACTCGAACTTGCAATATGGGACCCGGAGATGGCAACAAGGGTGCAGTGCGTGCAAATAATGGGATATACAAGCAACCCGCATGAACATGATTGGCAATAGCCCAAGGTAGAATGTCTACCCTGTCGGCAGAAAATGCGGAGATATGGGATGCAGAAAAAATACCTCGCCGGCTTCTTGCTTTACTACAGATGTATGTATGGATACCGATCACCAGCGGTATCACCCTTGAGATCTCCAAGTTCCGTCTGGAAGATGTCACGGAGTCAACAATGAAAGTCGCACCTCCCATAGAAAACATCACCACCAATGGGTCCAGATGGTGGAGGTAGACATCGAAACATATCGTGAGATGCGATCTATACCGTCTTTAGAGAATTTGAAGAAGTTTTATGGCTTTGTGTGTTGTATATTTCTGTAACAGATAATTCGCGGGCCTATCGGAGAAACTTCCGTCTACTATATCTGAGAGTTACCTAACGTTGAATTCCTAGCACCAAACTATATTGGTTTAGAGCGATGTCGATGTCCTTATAAAAGCACGGGATATAGCATGTGTTAGTGGTATTCGATAGTTTAGGAATCAGAGGCGAATGCATAGTATCTTCATCCGGACTTAACTCTTAGATATTAAGAATTGAACCCGTGGCTGACCACCGCGCGCTCTTACCAGGGATACTAGGGATAAATAAAGCATAGGATTTATGATCAATGGCATATTGCATATATGAAACTTTTAATGAAACTCAGCAATACAGAGATACCGTATTTTGCAAGTGTACGTAGTACATTTATATCTTAAGCCGCGTAGTTTTCTATGGCAATTCATCAAAAATAAGCTCAATATCTTTTCAAGTCTCAAAAGTTGCTCTATCGAACTGGATCCTCCAAGGAGTGAGAGGACATCGGTATCGTCAGGTGGGTAGGCGCTCAGTAGACGCTCAAAGAACCCATCATCGAAGGTGGGCGCACATGGTCCTTCTGGGGCGAGGGGCCCCGGAGAGAAGGTGCGGACGGTCGTAGCGCGGTGGTCTCCATTCGACGAGGTCTCTTCTCCCCTGTTTGGGGCACCGAAGGGCCATCAAGTACAGGAGTAAGCTGATAAAACCATCAGGGGATATAGTAAGGTCAGTTGGATTATTCAGAAGGCCATGGAGGTGTGGTGGTGAAAGTTGCTGTTCATTGAAAAGCGCTCTGGGGGGGAGTCGATTTCCTCGAAGTCGACATAGGGGATTCTTAACTTGACGCGTAAGGATAAGGGGAGGTTTTCAAGTTAACAATGCCTTGGTATATGTTAAAAATTGTTATCAATAGGTATCAAATAATAACAAAATCAAATAAAAACGACGTTGAGATATATGCGTAGAAAATATCGCATTTACTAGTTACGGTTGTACGTCTATCTAGGTACATGTGTAGGTTCTATAGAAGGGGTAATTTACTACCCTCACTTTCATTTCACTTTCATCTCAAATATTTATTATTTTATCTAGCACACTAAAAAATGAAAAAGAAACAAGTACTAACAGCCATTATTGAGGTGATCCTTAGACGTCTCAGGTTCAGCTGGTCCTCGACTGTTTGCCGATCTTCAGCGCTCAAATTGTCTCCCTAGGTTCCCACCATTGATACTGTTGTTTCCTCAATTCAAGCTGAATGGTCATGGAATATCGCTCGACGTTTTCCTTAAGAGTTATCTCGCATAATTTCATTCGGACTCCCTTTACGTGTATCGACGGAACTTCCAAGATTCCTTTCAGGGACAGGGAATAGGATCTGGACCCAGTTGCCGACACTCAATGAGATTGTCAACCAGGCAATCGCAGTTGGGGATAAGGTCCTGGTTTTCTCATCCAGTCCCACTTTTGAAATATCTGGCGCAATTGATGGACAGGGCGCAAATGAATATTTTCTACTTTATGGCGCATCGGCCGAGGCTGAGCGTCCTGAGATGATTCGCCAGTTTAACGATGACTCCACATGTCTTTCTTATTCAGCTAAAGCTGGGGGTGTCGGCTTAAACATTACCGCCGCCAATCGAGTTGTCATTTTTGATTTCCAGTTCAACCCTACATGTGAGGAGCAGGCAGCCGGACGTGCCCACCGTGTTGGACAGAAAAAGTCAGTATTTGTGTACCGACTGATCGCTGGCGGAACGAACGAGGAGCTGAACCTGAGACATCTAAAATAATAGATATTTTAGAAGGAAGTGAGAAGAAAGTGAAATGAAAGTGAAATGAAAGTGAAATGAAAGTGAAATGAAAGTGAAATGAAAGTGAAATGAAAGTGAAATGAAAGTGAAATAAGGTGAAATAAAGTGAAATAAAGTGAAATGATAAAAGTGAGATGCCATCTGTTAGTCCCTTGGAAGTTGAATCAATCTGTGTTTACAGGAAAAGGGTCACAAAAGAATCTCAGGTAGAATTGCCTACACATGGGTATCACTCAAACAGAAATGGAAAACGAGAACGTAAAAGAAAAGAAAAAAGAAAACAACCACAAAGTCTCAGTAAGGTTCAGTTCATCTTCCATGGATTTTTGTTCTTGAGCCGTCAATATGTCTTCTGGGTCGAGTTGGTCACTGTGAAGTCTGATGCTCAGGATTGACTCGGTGCATTCAGACTTCAGTCTCTCCATCGTCTCTGCATCCTTGGTGAATGCAATTTCATCAATCCCACCTTGGTGAGAACTCTCTTCCCAAGGAACCAGGTATTGTTGCAAAGTTTTGTTACCCAGCTAAGTGATATGCTTGTCATCAATTAGCCGGCGCACAAGCTGGCTCTTGAAGACAGCCGTGCTATATATCTTCTGGCCCTCGACTGTTTGTCGCTTTTCGGCGGCCAAAATGTTGTCTGGATTCCCTTTATTGTCAAACTGCTCGAAGGAGACTATGTATTGGGCACACTCGGAGAAGACAGACATTCCTATCCCGGGGAGGATATCGTGAAAACGTTCTTCCTGCAGGCGGTCTCTTAAATAAGACAGGTCGAAAGACCACGATGCCCAAGGCAGGAAAATGGGTTTGTTGGAAATACCACTTTCTCGGAGCTTGCTAACGAACCCATTTGCATCAAGGGTCGCAGGGTCCCATGGTGCGTAAAGTAGGCTCTGACCTTCTTTCCATTCGCCCTTTGATGCCAAGTTGCCGGTGCAGACAGAGGCGATGAGGAAGGCGCGATGAAATATCTTTGGCGCACTCAGAGGATTTGATCCTCTGCAAGGTCCCTGGATCTTTTGCTAGTGCCTTTGGCAGATCCCGCCTTGTTAGGCACTCTTCATGCAGGGGACCAGATATCTTTCCTCGGCTTCGGAGTCCATCGGAACGAAGTTCTTTTTGATCAGAGAGGAAAAAAGGAAGAAGCAGCAAGCGGATGAACCCGCTATTTAGAACCATAGATGTGGCCACTTGTCTGTTTCAGAAGATGCATATAGAGAGGGAGGTGTGGTGGCGCATGGTTGCAATATAGTAGGCAGATCAATTGTTGTGCCTACACCGGTGTGAAAAAACAAAAGCTGAGTCGACGCGGAGGCTGGAGTGGTGACTGTGTTGGCTAGATTAGAAGGTAGGATGCTAGACTGAGATACTTGCAATGAGCAATAATCCGACAAATATATCTGCGGTTACATAGCTAAGTAGGGACTGCACGCAACAAATCAAGCCTTGGAGTTTAAAGACAATTCAACTAGGCAAGTATCTCGGTCTCACAAAAGTATCAATTAAAACAAATGACTTTTGTTGACGCTATATTATTCATAAGTGGTTAGCATCGCGACACTAGAACGTCGACACCACGAGAAAGCCTCCAAGATTCGGCGTTACCAACCGGGAAGCGGATCATTTCGCCGAAAACCGTGCGCCTTTAGTACCCGCCTATCAGGGAATCAGGACATCAAGAGTGTATTAAAGGAGGTGTCAGGATTGGTCGGAAGAAATCCCCAAAATGACAAGGATGTTATCCACCATAAGAAAACCCAAGCGGTTTGCACTAAACAAATTCAACGGCATGATAGGTACGGTACATTCACTCAGTGTTCGGAACGCCCTCAGAATAACTACAAGTGACCAACCATTTGGCATTACTTGTGCTGAAGTGCCCATTCGGCAATCCCCTTGGCATGAAGAGTGGTGGTCTCAAAGGCTGGCACGATCATCTTACTAGCATCAAGCACAAGTCTGAGCTCAGTACAGGCCAGTGCGAGACAATCAACGCCGTGCTCATGAACCAAGCTGGTGCAAGCATCTTCAAAACCAGCCTTCACATGTTCTGCAATCGGCTGCTTGCTTAGTTCGTTGAAAATATAGCCGTCCACCTTATCTCTGAATTCCTTGTTGGGCACAACAACTTCCAACCCGTATCGCTCCTGAAGACGAGACTTGTAAAATTCCTCCTCCATCACAGCTCGAGTCGCTATCAACCCGACCTTTCGAAATCCGCGGTCTAGAATTGCTTGGCCGGTGAAGTCCACAATATGGAGGACCGGCAAGCGGGTTCGCTCCTCGAGAGAATCTACAGCTTTGTGGGCAACGTTTGCACATAACACCAAAGACTGCGCCCCGCCATCTTTCAACTGTTGACCGGCACTTGATAGCATTTCTATCATGCCCTCAGAATTGCCGCTGGTGACAAAACGGCCAATGTCGGCATAGTCCACGGATCTGATGAGTAGATTGGCAGAGTGAATACCACCGAGCACAGAGCGAACATGGTTGTTGATGCCTTCGTAGTATACCGCCGTGGTCTGCCAGGACATTCCACCAATTAGACCGACGGTTCTGGTCATTTTGGATGCCAACGACTAGATTCAAAGCAGGCAAAGGGGAGGGAGGATGCTTGAACAATGAGAAATTACGACAGTTTGATTCGGAGATGACTGGTAACGCAGTGAGACGAGAAAGTAAAAATAGGGAGCGAAATCGAAACGCGAAAGATTCGCCTTCTTCAAGTCCTAATAAGTCTTCTCAAAGAATTTCGATAGGCGAATTGAAAGAAAATTGGAGTTCCAAGTGGAGAAACGAGACTGGTTGTCCGGGGAAATCGTTGGTTGGGTCGCCCGGGCTACGTTGTGACGAATGGGATATGTGGGATATTTCTCTCCGGTCCTAAGGGTCGGAAATTAGACAAGATAATCTGATAATCTACAAGTGGTTCTGATGATGTCGCAAAGCCTCCAGGGTTGACCTCGGGAGGTTTACCCTCAGTCAGACCACAGCCAATGATGAGGCGTAATTCTGCCGATTCAGCCGCGCTAACCTGATCGGGTTGCTTCATTAGTAGCCAGCAGGCGGTGAATAGAAAATTTCACCTTCTTTGGGGACGGCTGGGGAACCTTGGAACTCTTCGAGGTCGGACCTCGCGGGATAATCGTGCGCTTATTAAAACGCCACCTGGGTCCCCGACCACTTCCCTTGATCAGCATCCGATTGGCGCGCTCGCCCTCACAATCAATTGACCATTAATATGACATAGGAAAACAGAAAAGATATCCACCGCATTATCACATACCGCAGACCGAGCCGGTGGAAGCCAGTGAGTGTCGGGGGAAAGCAAATCCCTTAGTGTTCTCAATGCTGCGAACTTGACATCTTGTCTTTTCTGCCGGTCAGGGGTTTATGTCGGGTTAAGAACCCAAATTCACTGGCATATTTAGGGACACGCAACAAAGTGTCCGATATATCGCGGTTCTCTCTCTTTACCTGGGCTGCGGCCTTGCTTGCCTTTTCGCATCTTGGAAGTTTGGGCGCCAAGGTATTTGGCTAGTTCACTCAAATTGCAACCGTTGGAGAGATTTATTTCGTAGGCTCTACTTTTGATTGCCTACCTGGTTGAGTACACGGAGCATGTAGCTCAACCCACAAGATATGATTAACATCCTTTTAACGTTTTCATACTGCCTTGAGTTTACATTAGATGCTGCACTCCTTGTCTTTTACAACACCCTTGCAACCTTATGCTGCCTATTATGTTGTATGCCTTGCTTGTCGTGGTGCCACCACATCGAGATAATGCGAAAAAATACTTTCCAAATAGAGCGTCCTACTTCGACTTTGATCAACACTTATTAATCACGGTGTGATTGGATTCTCACTCGATCTGTCGACTCAGCCAATGACCTTTAGAGCTCAGGAGCTCATATCAATGAACGATCTCTAGATTCAATGGACTTCGACCCAATAGTTGACTAATGTTCCCATCGGACAGACAAGTCCACAGGGCAGGTCGGATATTTCATTTGTTGACAAATCAGAATCCGTCCCATGAGCCGATGCTCGGTAGAAGATCGCGAAAGTCCAAACCAAACCTCGACGAATATACTTCGCTAACATGATCTCTTCAAACCTTTAACAGATGACATTTATGGGTCCAGAAGGGTGTTCACGGACTCATCTGAAGTTAACCAATGACTTTAAAAGGGGGCGTCTACCAGGGAGGTCGAACGTCTACCCTTCGGAGAAAACCACGGTAATCTGGAGAACATTTCCCCATCTTCAACGTCGGTTCCTTCGTGACCTCCCCTTTCCACCATGATGGCATCAGACAACGTTTCACCAGACGAAGCGAGGGCAAAATTTGCCGCTTCGCTTTCGCAGATGTACCGAAAGGAAATCCCCCAATATGGTACGCTTCTAGAGCTGGTGTCCAAGATCAATGAGAAAGTGAACAAGGAGGCTCCCCACCATGATACTCTGAAACGAGTCGAGGTCGAACGTCATGGTGCCATCAGACTGGGAACACCCGAGGAGTTGGCCATGATGCGGCGGCTTTTTCGCCTCCTGGGAATGGAGCCAGTTGGATACTATGACTTGACCGTCGCCGGTCTCCCCGTCCACGCGACCGGATTCAGACCTCTCAATGAAGCCTCCCTCCTCTACAATCCTTTTCGTGTGTTCACTTCGTTGCTCCGTCTGGATTTGATCAAAGATGACGCTCTCCGCAATCAAGTGAAGAAAATACTCAGCCTGCGAAGTATATTTACCTCACGCTGTGTTGAGCTTATTGAGCAACTTGAAAAAAGCCCAGACTACCCTCGACCAACTGTCGATGAACTCATTCAGGAAGCATTGAATACTTTTCGCTGGCATGAGACGTCCACTGTGGACATTGGAACCTACAAAGAGCTCGAGGCAAGCCACCCTCTAATCGCAGATGTCGTCTGCTTCCGAGGTCCACACATCAACCATCTCACCCCTCGTGTTCTCAACATTGATGCCGCACAGGCAGCAATGCAGAGTCATGGTCTAAAGGCAAAGTCTTCTATTGAAGGGCCCCCGCCTCGTCAAAACGAAATCCTCTTACGACAGACAAGTTTTCTCGCCCTTGAAGAGAATATTGCATTCTCGGGCGGATCCCAAGGTGGCAGCAAACATAGGGCGCGATTTGGAGAAATTGAGCAGCGAGGAATGGCTTTAACACCAAAGGGTCGCCAGATGTATGATGAGCTTTTGGACCGCTTCAACCGTACCTGCGCACAGCTTCCTCCCCACGCGACCTGGGAGTGGAAGTCCGCCCTTCTGAGAACGTGCTTTGAGGGCTTCCCTGATGACCTGGACACACTTCGACGCGAAAAACTGGCATACTTCAGATATTATGTGGTTGAAGGTCCTAGGAGGCCACAGATTGTTACCGACATAGATTCCTTAGTACAGGCCGGTTGCGTGAGGTTCACACCTATCACCTACGAGGATTTCCTGCCGGCGAGTGCCGCGGGAATCTTCCACTCGAACCTGAGTGCTGGCGGCGAGCAGCTTCAATCCGGTTTAGCGGATAAGGAGGGATTCGAGAAGGCCCTCGGAAGCTCCGTCAATGACGAGTTCTTGATCTATTCAAAGATCGAACAGTCGTCTATCGCGGCTTGTTTAGATTGTTGAAGTCAACTCTTTGGCTGTGGAAAGCAGTATTTCGAATACTTCATTTGAGCACTGCACTTTCTAGGACGGCTTCAGTTGGGTTTGCTCAGGAGCTAGATACAACGGGTAAATTGATAGTTGAGCCAGTTCAAGCAAGAACGTGGACTGCCGTCACGGATACTGACGGCCTAGTTTATATCACTTTACCTTAATTGAGGCTACCTATTCTACGTATTCTTCCGCAGTGGTACATTTATCAAACACATGCATTGAGCCACCTGGGCTCAGACCTCTGTAGTCCCTCCCAGTCAACGACCTACTCTCAACGTGTGTAAGTCAAAAAGGATCTGTGGTCTACACTATAGTCAGCCAGATCGAACCACATATAATTCTGCTCAGAGTATACGGAGGCGTGCAGTTTACCCGAGGACGTGAAAATAAAGGGAGCCCATCTTCTAGCCGAAGCAGAATGGCATTTAATATCGCACCAATATGAGTGAGGGCAGAAGCAATATACTGTTGTCCTCACACGCAACCCTTCTGCTATATCGAAAGTAGCACTGTCCAGAGTAATCGTGTACTATGTTCTGGCTCTCACGTATTTGATCTACAGATGCTTGATGTCAGGTTACGGCAATTGCGGATACACAATGCTTCATCGAGCGATAGAGATGGCCGCATCAATTGACATAGTGAGCGAATGCTAGGATGGTCACCTTACAAGCATCACATTTCTTCAATGATACGAGCCGCTCTCTCTTTCCGCGAACCGAAGAAGATGGAAGCACCAAGCAGGAGCTTTACAGGCGGCTATGCAAATGAGAAAGAGAGCTGTCCCTGCTTTCGAACTAGAGAACCCAACACCGTATATATATTCTTAAGTAGATTATGGCCTCGCCTTTCTATCGTTTCTTGCTTCAGGAATGTAACATATTAACGAAGAATCTTGCAACAGAATGCGCTAGTACACTTTGGTCATCAATATATGTTGCCATGACATTGTTTCCCCTCTTTCATAGTTATTCAGCAGGCACTGGACTTTTACATGTCGCTGGCTATGCTGAATAAGTCATCTCCACTACCTCCGGTGGTAGTCGAGGCGCTATTGGCGGCCGTGATAAACGGAGCCATCTCGACGGCAGGATAGGGGTTGGGAGTAAGTACTCCGTATCAGAGATGCAAGTCGGAATTTGCTATCTCGTACGGGTGTACTGCTTTCAGATTCGTCCGAATCAATCAACCATTCCTTTGGGCGCGGGAATACGGCAAATTTTGGTGCCATTTGCCGAAGCGCTGCGGTCTGTCTGGTTGTCGGGGGTTAAAAAAAGCCCCTACCGATGAGGACCATAGCCCTGGAAGGCAATGAAAATACATACATCGAAGCGGCCGAGAATGATTAGCATGGATCAGCAATGGATTGTAAGATACTCCGTACGGAGTACGGTGATATAAGTTTCGTATGTTATTTTACTCCGTACAGCTAATTGTATCCACTAACAATTAGGCACGCCCTACCCGGCATTCCCTCTTGAACCCCCTATTACCCACCTATTCTTCTATTGGCTACATCAGTTTCATTGCGGCCAGTCCAATAGAAGGCACTTCTCATAGTGGAGCCGCTAACCAAGGAGGTCACTTGAAACCTTCCAAGATTGGAATCGGTGTCTGTTGAAAATACGATCATCCTCATACTTGGAGCAGCTACGGAGTACACCTCATCGGGATAGGCATCCTATACTTCTCGCTCCTAGGAAGTCTCTGCCTGAAAATGCACGGCGGGGTCCTTATAATATATGGGACCCTGAGCCCCTGAGTCGCTTTACAATATACGTTCCTATACTGTACGGAGTACTAATTCGACATTTTCCCCAGGGCTCATCTTCTTGTTTTTTCTCTTACCTATGTTGTATGTATGTTAGAATAACTACCGTATACTGCCCTGGAACTTCTGCAAGGTAAAATCATCGCTGTCTTAAAACAGTGCATGATTTGGATTTGTATGTAATACCCTAGCTTAATGGACATTCTGCTTTGCAAGTTCATTGCAGTCTGAATTCAGAAATAGATTGGACACTATGGACTAATTATGTTTCATGATTTCACGAATTGCGTATACTCGACAGAGTACTCCCTATAGTCTGAGAATTACTTATGCATGATCGATAAATTTATGAAATAACAGTACATGCTAAGAACCTGCTCGACGTAAAAAAGGCCTACTTGATCAACCAATGATATGCCCGTTATCCCGCGTGGCCCCGTACGTCCTAGCATTCTTTCGATTGGTAACTTTATGGTAGACCGCGAACCCCTATTTCTCTAAGACCAACGATAGGAATAGTTATATAAGGGTAGCAAACTTGCAACCTGGGTTTGGAAATAGTGGCTCTGCAACATAAGTCGTAGTTGCGAGAATCGAACCTGGATTAACAGCCAAGGCCCCTCGACGTCGGAAAAATGGAGGCCTTATGGCGCCTCCTCGGAGCATTTCCACCAAAAAGTCCACCACCGCTTGCTGGGAGTGACGATGTCTATCCTGTTCACATGCTAGACGACACCAAGACGCTGCGGGACATCGTCGTCACATGGACCCTGCGCTTTAACGATGTGCTAGATGCGGACAGCCTGCACGCTTCACTGTCCAAATTGCTGGAGATTGGAGACTGGAGGAAGCTCGGCGGTCGGCTGAGGTTAAAGGTTAGCTTGTCGTCCTGATTGTCGGCGACGAATCAATAGCTGCTGACCCGATAGTAGAATGGAGAGCTGGAGATCCATGTCCCCCGGCCCTTCACGGCGGAACGTCCTGCGGTGTGCTACACCCACCAAGTCCTAGCCGTCAATATCGAAGACCATCAACTGGCAAAGACTCTTCCCAAAGCTACCGAGGCCCCATCCATCCAGCCCGGGCCTCAGGAATATCGAGTATTTGCGGCTCGGGAAGATGCGCCGGCGACACTCGAAGACTTTATCTACAAGGACACGCCCCAGCTGTCGCTCCACATAACTTCATTCAACGATGCGACGCTCGTGGGTCTCTCATGGCCGCACACACTTATGGACGTCATGGGTCAGCAGGCCCTCCTTCGTGGCTGGTCTCTTGTGCTAGCTGGCCGGGAGTCGGAAGTGCCGCCCATGCTCGGAGCACGAGAGGACGCCGTGTGCGTAGCGGCAGATGCACCCGAGGAGCCGGAGGAGTTTAGGGTAAGAGAGAAGCGGCTGAGGGGATGGGGTATGCTCGTGTTCGGGGTTCGATTCGTGTGGGATATGCTGTGGAACCAGATTGTTGAGACCCGGACCATCTTCCTGCCTAAGAGGGTGGTGAGCGAGTTGAGACGTCAGACACAGGGCGACTTGCCTGTTCAGGGCATGGGAGAGGTGAAGCCATTTATAAGCGAGGGTGATGTGCTGACGGCTTGGGCAGCGCGCGCTGTGGCATGCTCCCTGCCGCAACCACGGCCAGTGACGGTACTCCATGCGCTCAACGCACGATTTCGGCTCTCGTCCTTGATTCAGGCCTCCGGTGTTTACGTCCAGAACATGGCGGTGGCAGCCTTCACATTCTTGTCCCCCGAGATCGCGACGGGCCCTCTGGGACCCATCGCTCTGGAGAACCGTCGCCATTTAATGGAGCAATCAACGGAGGCTCAGGTTGTGGCCTTCCTGCGCGAGTTGCGACGGGGCTCTAAGGCCGGCAGCGACCCGGCGTTGCTCTGTGGTGAGTCTAACGCCATACTAATAGCCTTCACCAATTGGACAAGAGCCGATTTCTTCAAGGTGGTTGACTTTAGCCCTGCAATTGTGCGTGTTGGCGAAACGGCCGAAACGAGAAGCAACCCGCCCGGCACCATGGTGTTTCACCACGCGCAATCAATGCGACAAAGTCCGACAGCCAGGAACGTGTTCGTGGTGCTGGGCAAGGACAACAACGATAACTACTGGGTGACCGGAGTCTTGCTGCCCTCGGCCTGGGCGAAGATCGAAGAGGAACTAAATAGGATGTGACGATAGCGCTAACAATATGGTGATAAATTTTCGGATAGTGATCTATAACGTACATGTAATAAGAGCTTGATTGTCTACTAAGCAGTGTGAAATGAAGAGTGTGAATTGTCTCAGTCTCAAGTCCCTAAATTTGAAAGAATGCCATACTATGTACGTAGGTAGGATGGAATAAAATGTTGCAATATTCCACTAGACCACCACAAAATCCAAGGTTCCTGTTGAGGACCTAGGGAAGCCCATATCCCAGTTCGACAGAACAGTCAACGTATATCCAAAAGAATGTTTTAATCCATTCACACACTGCTACACTCATTGAAAGAGAAGCAACCACAGTAGTTTCCGATTTGCAACATTTTTTTCCATATTTGCTATCCTTGTGTGAAGATAGCAGTCTCTAGCCACTACATTTGTCCAGAGAAGAGGCTGACTTCATACACATTTCTAGGAAGTCTATCACAGTAACTGAAGAATTTTATTTTCTGTGTCCTTTCTTTTTTGCAAATTTGCCACCCCTCACAGCCATTTATAATGTGTGAGATTGGAGTATATCAATTTAATTGAGATCGAAGGAGTGTGATTAAAGGTAGGTTGAGGGGCCAGAATTTCTCGTGGCTATTCCCTATATTTCAAACTATAGATGTATAGCTATTTTGAAAATGTGATGGATTATGTGTTTATATCCATGGGTAGATACACATTGGAGAATCCTCCCTAGATGGGATGTTTATAGACGTATTGCTCAATCTTTATGCATCTCGGAGAGGAGAACCTTGGAGTTCTGGACAATCCACTTGGACGACTACAAAAGAAACTGTATGATTGACGAGTTCTGTGTATTTCGGGGGAGACTAGGTATTCGGACTTCCAAAATTGCTATCGAACGGCCTCGTCACTTCTTACCCTTGATCCTTTAAGCCAGAGCGGTGACATCCATCTCGAACTCAAGGTTGAGAGGGAGCCGCGCAACCTGGACAGAGGTACGTGCGGGCTTCGAGGTGAAGAACTCGCCGAAGACCTTGTTAACTGCCTCAAAGTCGCGATCAATATCGGAGAAGTAGATCTAAATACGCTTCGTCAGTCTTTGAACTTGATACATGCACGCATGCTTGCTCTACTTACGGTGATCTTGAGAACCTTATCGAGGCTAGAGCCAGCGGTCTCGAGCATGAGCTGAGCGTTCTGGCACATACGACGGGCCTTCTCGGTGGTGTTGTTTCCAACAGGCTTAGCAGCACTGTCGGTGGGGACTTGGCCAGCGAGGAAGACAAAACCACCACCGCGGGTGACTTGAGACTGAATGACAAGACATGTTAGAGATTCATCTAGCAGTTGCTGCAATAGCTGCAAAATCAGAACTCACGTAAGGGCCAATAGCTATGCAATAGTTAGCAAATGGTGATCTTGAGCCGAGGTAATGAGTGACTTACGATGGACACCGTCCTTGTTGAAGAAAGTCTCGACAGACATGATGAATATATTGGTGGAAAGGTTCTCACAAGTTGAACAGATGGTGTTTGTGTGTTGATTGATGTCTCTACTTCGCTGGAATCGACTCTCTTTAAATATACGTCCCTGGATCTAGTGTGGAGTTCTATCTGAATCTCCCCTAATTGGTTCTATCGGGCTTTCGTGTGAGCAGCCAGCAACCGGATGCCCGATTATCACATCATGGACTATCCTTAGCAGAGTAGAGGGGTAATTAAACTCCAAACGTTTCGAATCCGAACTCTCCACCTTTTGATCCGGCGGCGCAGCCATTCGTTTTCGCCCCGTACTCCATCCGCCGGAGCGACTCTACTGTGAACGAGGGCTGCGATTGGTCAATGCGCAATGCATAATATAGAGCCTATCATGACCTCCCGGAATGGGCCCTCACCTTGCCCCCCCATGCTCATCGCTGATCTACGGATGTGGATCACTTTCTGTTATCATGCGATCCCATCATCGCCAAAGATGCCTCACGCCAATTAAGATACATTCGCCGAAGTGCAGCATTCATCTCGCCTCCGATCATACCCGCAGCTAGCAATTTCGTGCTATTTGTTTAATTTTGCTATTTGTTTAATTTTGCTATTTGTTTAATTTGAATCACGAACAGACCAATGGACCAAGTTCCTAGCATCAAGTTCCTAGCACAATATGGTAAATTCGCCGATCCAATCTTGATTCAATATTGATACTATCTTCGTAATCCGGTCTTGCGCATGTCCAATCCTGTTTTCCATGCTATACATCCCACGCGTATTATTCATAATCTGCCACACAACCGCTGTCACACCGTTGGCCTGCACTGGTGGTAGACAGACCTCAGGATGCCAACGGCACAAAAGTGGTGCATACCGGAGAATCTGGCGCGAACGGCCATCGAATGAATCGCATCATGATTTGGGATCCTTCCTCTTGAAGGTCCGCGGAAACCTTCCGTATCCGTTGGTTCTCAGTTACATTGATGTGATCTACAATGATTCCGACATTTTGCTCTTCGATCTCGATCATTCGCTGCGCACAGAGTCCCGAATATCTGTCCTGCCAAGCACCGTGGTAGAATGGAGACTGGAGCATCAAGGAAACAGCCTTCCTACGGATAAAGGGATGACGGCAGCGGGAGGCTGCGAGGAACATTGGGGGTGTGATTCCAAGATCGAAGCTAAAAAGTAGGCTAAATGCCTGCGATTCTCTCTTCCACATCTCGGTCACGCTCTCGGCGAGGTCGACAATGGTTTGGAAACGGTCGGTATAATGATCGAAAATACCCTCAAATTCCGAATGATAGGTTTCGGCAATAATAGAACAGGTATAGAAGTATAGATCTAGCAATTTTCGTGTGGCATTCTCGTAAGATCGGGGACTCGGCCGAGAAGTCGGAGGCGTCTAAAGCTGCTTTCCACTGACGTAAAACGGTGATAGGAGGTTGCGATGGTAATTGGCCATCTGAGTTCTGCTGATCCCGCTCGAGGTAGGAAAAGACATAATTCATCTCTCGATCAAAATCGTTCCGCGCAGAATCGAGGGAAGGATATAACGGAGGGATTTTAGGAGATGGTAGACATAGCGGAACGCCAAGGTTAATTAATGTGTGGCGAGAATCCATACATATAGAGAATTGCACCCGTAAGCGTTGGAATGTCGGTGTTATTTGGTTGTTGATAAAGTCTAAGGTGGGGCGAGAATACTCTTGTAGTTTGTTGTAGGCGTTGGTGCGATACCTCCACCAATAGAGCAGTCTCAACCCGGCTGTGAGATGGAGTAAACATGCAGCATCACCGCTTCGAAATTGTTCGAAGCAGATGAAAAGGAGACAGAGGGTCATGGTGATATCAGGTCGTGATGACATGTTAGGAGACTCGGTCTGAATAGATTTGATTGCGGCCGTATAATGTTTCAGAGCCAGCATCTGGGCCATGATCTGGGCCTGCTTTTCTGATCTGCGAATTGAAGCACAGGCATCGACTGGTTCTTGACTTTCATGGAAGGAAGCTAACGCCGTCAGGGCATGCTTGACCGGTGCTTCACTATAGCCGAGCTGAAGAAGGATGGAAATCCAATTGCTGGCATCCCGAAGGCCAAAAATCCGATGGGCAGTTCGGCTGCGAAAATACGAAAAGGCCCGGCGCTCTTCGTCGCTCAGGCAATCAGGGGACAGGTTGCGGCTAACTGGGGCCGGGTAGCCCTCGCAGATCCTTTGCGTGGCTACGCAGCGTAGACAGGACGGTTTCTGTTCATCACATTTGACATGACTAAGAATAAATTGTTAGCGTGCGGACCGCCGCTCGATTCGATGAGTACACGCACCGGGACCTAAAGACTGTCAGTGATAGGCCAAAAGGGTTAATTCAGGATAGCGTACTTGCAGGTGAAGCAGCCGCTCCGGGTCTTGCGACCAGGTCTCACGACGGCTGAGCGAGCGGTGGGCATTTCGAATTGCACGCTCGGAGTTCAGATGGGTTCGTGCAGGCAGGGGAAAGTCGGGAGTGATCAACGCAGCGAGCGACGTGGCGTGGCGACACCCGTGAACGCCAGCGGTGCTGACTAAGGAGCGGCGAAACTGCCCAGGTGGCCAGTGATCTACCCAGGTATGGATGGTTCCTTCCAAGGTTGACTCCAAAATGGTCCAAGTGACTATAATTTGCTTTTCCGTTTATCTTCAGAGCATTGTACCTCAAGACGAGAAGTGCGACCCAGCCCCAAACCCCGCATTCTTAGCTCTGGGGGTGACATCGAATGTGGTTCACAGGGCGCGAGCTTAATTTCTCCGTTGATAAAGATCGCTATCAATCCCACGCTTCTCATTGGCCCGGGATGTGCCGTAGCGACGCGATGAATCAGAACCGTTGGAAGCAACTCTTGGCGACACCAGATCGATTGCCAATACCGCATACATAAGTCCCCTGCATAGGTCTACGTCCGGGACGACTGTTTGATTCAATCATCCTGAGGGGCTCTCATCATGTCGAAATTATCCTCTACTCCTTCTGAAATCATCATTATAGGTGGCGGTGTAATGGGGCTCAGCACGGCTTGTGCCCTCGTGCAACGTCCCCAATATTCCAACTCCTCCATCACTATCCTGGAAGCTGCCCCCGCTGTGCCAAACGGACAGGGTGCTTCTGTGGACACGAGCCGCATTCTGCGTGCCGACTATGCAATCAAGCCGTACACCAGGCTGGTGACGGCCGCACGGGAAAAGTGGCAGGATGTCTCGCACGACGGATGGGGTGGTGAAGGAAGATACCACGACGCCAAACTTCTCCTGACCGCTGAGCCTGGGACGGAAGGCCACGTTGATGGCTATTTGGAGGAAAGTCTGGAGAACCTGAAAGAGCTCGCACAATCGGGCGAATACGCGTTCAAGCCGCAGGACCTCCGAGAGCTTTCTGATCGGAATGCGGTCGCCAGAGAGTCCCTTGCCCCCGGGTGCAGTGGCAATTTTGGCTATGTCAATGATCAGTGTGGCTGGGTCAACGCCGAGGCCTGTGTCAAATATGCGTATCAGAAAGCCCGGCGCCTTGGGGGAGATCGTTTCAAAGTGCGAACCAACACTCTGGTGAAGCAACTGCTCTATCAGACCAATGGCAAAAACCTCGGTGGCGGGGTTCGCTGTACCGGCGTGGAGCTTCTTGACGGTTCTTGTGTTGATGCAGACCTAGTCATTGTTGCTGCGGGCGCGTGGACACCGTCGCTGGTCGATGTTCAGGGGCGTGCCGCTGCTACAGGCCAAGTTCTGGCATATATGCCCATTACCAATTCCGAACAAAAGGCCTTCAACGCAAGCCCGATCTATTTCAATGTCAGCCGAGGCATGTTCATGCTTCCTCCCCATGACAATGAGCTCAAGATGGGCCGTCACGGATTCGGTTACCAGAACCCGACAAAGGTAACTATTCCGCGACCGACACCGGAGAATCCAAACCAATCCGTAGAAGCCACCGTCAGTGTGCCGCGCACTGACCTGCCCATCCTGCGGAAGCAGAGAAGGCTTGCAAGGACTTCCTGCTTGAGATGTTCCCAAGCTGGAAAAATCGGAGCTTCTCGAAAACTAGGGTGTGCTGGTATTGTGACACGTATGTTACTTTATTCATGCAACCTTACATCCTCAATTCTAACACTACTTTATAGACCGACCGGCGATTTCCTTGTCGACTACGTTCCACACTCATCTGGCCTTTTTCTCGCGACCGGTGACAGCGGCCACGCTTTCAAGGTTTTCCCCATCATCGGGGATAAGATTGCAGACGCCATTGAAGGGAAACTCGATCCGGAGCTGCAAGATCTGTGGCGATGGAAGACCGATGCTCCCAACACCTTCCAAGGAACGGATGACGGAACACGAGGTGGCAGGCGCGGAATGATTTTGGAACAAGAGCGACGAGGACGTGGCCAAGTTGCAGGACGCATCTGATCTCCTTGGCCTTCAATAGGATTCGTATAGTTAAAGAGATAGGGCAAAACCCTTCTTTGTCTGACCGCGCTTTTTGAAAGTTTGAATCATGCTAAATAGGAGAACGGCTTGTTGCTGAGATCTGTATAACGAATGGATTGTAATCCGTAGGGTGTTATGCCTGTGAGGTAGACCAGATACCAAGGTACATGTCTAGTTAGACCATGGAATTGTACAGAAGGTTAACATTGCTTGCAGAAAGAAAGTCATATGAAGATCTCCCATTTCGTGATCTGGTTGGGGCAATTGTACAATAGTCTTAAAATGACCAGGGTGCCTATTGGATCACTCGGATACCTAGGTACCCTATTCACGAATAGTCTGCCACTCGGATTGGATATAGAAATGGAGGTGAACGATTGGCCTACCTAGGTAACTTGGGTAGTTAGACCACCTATGGATCACAATAACCTTGAACGACCCACTCCATAAGGGCCTCTAGATCCAACAGCAAGTATAGCTCTTGATTGGCCGGCTCGGATAACGCTTCTATTCCCCAGCCATCATCCATAGATCATCCCGGAGATTTATCTCGAAAGACTTCGATTGGGATCTTCGCTACAGATATCAGTCCTTCGTACGAGGTCAACTCGAGCCGACACCTCATTTGGGACCCCGAAGGTCTATCTTCCGGAGAAAATGTCAAATCCTCGCTTGCTACTCCCGCATGAAGTCCACCTTGAGCCATGACTCAGAAACAAATCATCGCGATTATTCGATTATCCACTTGATGTCGACCCGGCACGTCTCGGATATTTATTGATGGGCTGCACGCCAGTTTCCCTTACTCTGTTATGTCTTCCCCTTTGTTTTTTTTCCTTCAACCCCCTGAACTACCCTTTGACCAGTTTTGCTTTGCATTGAGATCATAACTATGTCTTTTCAAAAGAACCTTTTCATCAATGGACAGGTAAGCACATTCACTTCAGGTTCGTTTCAACTAACTAAGCAAAGACAGCATGTCCCCTCGAGTACTGGGGCAACGTTGAAAATCATCAATCCTCACGATGGCTCGATAGTCGTGGAAGACATGCAAGTCGCCAGCGAGGATGACGTGGAAACGGCAGTGAAAGCTGCCAAAGCTGCCTTCCCCTCCTGGAAGAATACCCCCGCCACAGTGCGAGGGAAAACAATGGTCAAACTTGCAGAGCTCCTTGAGGCCAACGCTGACAATTTGGCACGCCTTGAGACTATCGCAATGGGACAGCCCATCTCACTAGCTAAGCGAATGATTCTTGCATCTGCTGGCGTATGGAGGTATTACGCTGGTTACGCAGGAAAGGTCGGTGGTGAGGCTTACCCTCCGGATGGCGACGGCACATACAAGATCGTTCAGTACGAGCCGCTAGGCGTCTGCGCCGGTATTTGCGCATGGAACGCTTCTCATGTGCTGTCTGCGTGGAAAATGGCACCGGCCATGGCTGCTGGAAACACTTTTGTTCTCAAATCAAGTGAGAAATCCCCGATATCTATCGCGCAGTACGGTGCTTTGATCCAGAGAGCCGGTTTTCCCGCAGGAGTTATTAACATACTCACCGGCGATGGAAAAGTCGGCGCGCTCCTTTCTGGTAATATGGAAATTGCGAAAATTGCCTTCACTGGGTCTACGGCTGCAGGGCGTGCAGTGCAAATCGCAGCAGCCAAATCCAATCTCAAGAAAGTCACACTGGAGCTTGGTGGAAAATCGCCCGCGTTGATCTTCGACGACGCAGATATTCCGAATGCAGTGGCTCACTGCTCCGATGGCTTCCTGCGGAACTCGGGCCAGATTTGCTTTTCGGCATCCCGAGTTCTAGTTCAGGCGAGTGTCGCCGTTGAGTTCATTAAGGCGATCCAGATAGCATTTGAAGATGCAGCTCAGAGGATGGGTGATCCACAATTGCCCACAACTGATTTTGGCCCACTAGCCGATCAAATGCACTTCAATCATGTCATGGAGTTTCTCCGCCAAAGCAAGGAAGAAGGCATCGAGGCGCTGGTCGGAGGGGAGAAGCATGGAACTAAAGGAACATTCGTCCAGCCGACTGTTCTGCTTGGACCTGACCAGGACAGCAAGTTGTGGAAAGAGGAAATCTTCGGCCCGGTTGTTGTCCTGAAGACATTCAAAACCGAGGAAGAGGCCATCGAGCTCGCAAATGACACACCCTTCGGTCTAGGATGTAAGTAACTACTCCCCATTTTCGAAGCATTGGCTGACAGTTCCTAGCGAGCGTTTTTACATCAGATCTTGCCCGAGCACTTCGCATCGCCGGGCAGATACAGTCTGGGGCCGTCGGCATTAACGGTACATTTGCTACAAACCAGCAAACACCCTTTGGCGGCTGGAAGCAGAGTGGGTATGGACGCGAACTGGGGCTTGAGGGCCTTAAGAACTATCTTCAGTCAAAAACAATTCATCTTAATATGAATGTTATGAAGGAATAATTCAAACGATGATTTGTAATTGCAAATCAATCGGGTTTGTATTATGCTTGCCCGGCTTACCTGGACCATTCTCGTTCGGAGCCTCAACACCATATTTCATGCTGTCATTTTTGCATTATGAAGAGGATGCCGAGTGGCTAAAGATTAGCTTCTACTCCGTATCTCCGTTGCCAATCTAAGAGAGAGTGCCTTCCCCGAAAGCGTCACAGTGACCAATCCGACAGGTAGTTTGCCGAATAAAACCCGATTAGCACCTTCGGAGTTGTCGACTGGAGTAACTTGCCACCGATAGGTACTGTGTGTAAGACTCTGAACGCAGTCACACTGTAGATCGTTCCATGAAACCTGCCATAATCTCCCGTTCGGTATAGCCGTCTCCTACATCTCGTGACTTTTTACATTTGGCCTCAAGATCCATGCCCAGGTGTATAGAGGGTCTTACTAAAGAAGCCAACTTCCACTTACCTTGTCTAAGTACCTGAATAGGGTAGGCCTGGGAGCGTCTAGCTGGTACACTTTGAAAAAGATCCGATCTCTTGGCAGAGAGAATGGAACAGACGATGTAGGGGCAGAATGAATGTGGGGCGTTGAAATAAGCTCTGATTGCTTGCCTCGCACTTCGATCTCCCGGTCCAATGAGAGGCTGCAATATTTTGACTCCAGACCCACATTTGGGATCCACGGCGGACCTCGGGAGTTTCTTGATAAACTGTTGTTCGCGTACTCCGTATTGTTGGATAAAAAAGGTCGATGTTCACACGCGATAAAAAGCAGAACAAAGGTTTCTTGCCTAAAAAAGTAAGCTCTTTTCTTTCAGCCAAAATTACTATGTCTTCGAACAACCCCCCTCGAGCACCATGGAGGGAACTACTAGATTTCCAACTACGGCAAACGCCCGGATACGAATTCACAATCGCAACAGTCGAACAAAGTGAGGAGGGTAAATACTTTCCGCGCGCTCGTATATGTGGCTTTCGCGGCTTTTTCCCCGATGTTGAACTCCATCCCAATGGAGAAAACGACATGCAGGAGCAAGTTATCAACGGAGGAAACCCACCGAGCTTTGAAAGCGACCTGTTTACCTTCACAACGGATGCCCGCATGGAAAAGTTGTCCCATCTACAGTCCTCAGAGCATGAAATTGAGGCGCTGTTCTGGCTGAAAGAAGTTTCATCCCAGTGGCGTGTCAAGGGGAAGGCTTTTGCGATCGGGAATCCGCGCGGCGAGTGCGATGAAGGCGAAAGAGAGGCGAGAGCTGCGATACGAAGAGAATTAAGGTTGAAGCCCGGCACGAATTCCGCGAGCGCAGGTTGGACCTTCGAGCATGCCGTGACGAAATATTTTGCGAATCATTCCCCAGTGATGAGAGGTACTGCACTTCAGGTCTAACTAGGAGGCTCCGCTTTGCGACCGTGATCTCTAACCTATTATTAGGTTCCTTCAGGGCCCCTCCGCCTGGTAGTCCAAAGCGCGGCGACTTGCCCGATTCCGGTTTGAATCCAAGTCTAGCTGTTACCGATCTCTATGACAATGTGGCGCGAGAGAACTTTCGAGTAGTTGGTATCTGTCCTCGGGAAGTCGAGAAGCTGGACTTGTCTGACAGGGACCATCTGCGCCGGTGGAGGTGGACACTTGAAAGCAAGGGAGAGGATGAAAATATATCTTTTCAATGGCTTCAAACCGAGCTTAACCCATGAAAAGGCACTAGTGGCTTAATTGATGATAGTTCCAAGGTGAACGCACTAGTTAAGGTGGATTGTAATTGTGCTTTTCTAGTCCTCATGCATTTACCTGGCAACCTCCATCTATAAGTTAATTATGAGTATCTTGCACAAGTCTTGAGTCCATAATGCTCTGGCATCGTATCTCGACACGTTCTGACCCTGTATGCCTGTCCTATAGACCTTATTTTGATAGCTTCCTATTAGCTAGATTTATAAGCTTGCTAATGAAAACTAACTTTCTAGGATTGCTTAGATAGGCCTGACTATGGGGAACTCTGAGCCTTTGTGGCTAGACAAGCTCCGCGGTAACAGACCTAACTATGTACGACAACCATTACTTAGTGAATAAAACGACGGTTAAGGTTTGCTAAAAAAAATATATTCTGATTTTGTGCAAAACCTCTCACTGTTTCTAAAAGCTAGGGTTTGGTTTGGTTTATACACAGGCCACCACACTCAGGTTTCAAAACATTCGATCATAGTACTCGAAGACAGATAACGCTAATCCAGAATTACTGTGTAGAGGCAGCCGTTGGGTTGGAGGTGTACTCAACACGAGCAGCAATGCCGACACAGTCTGTGTTGCCAGCAGGGTTAGCAACACCGGCAGACGCCCAGATGCTCCAGGCACCGTCAATGCTATTGGGGCAGGCTATCAGGTCATTGCCCATGAACTGGAGGTGATTATCGTTGACAGCCCAGCCCTCGCGCTCGCCGTTCTTGGGTGCACCCTGAATGCCAGTGGTGTATCCGATGAGGCCCTGGCCTTTTCGAAATGGTTAACGGAGGGTCAAATTTATAATGGCAATGAGGAACTTACCCATGCCAGAGCGGTCAACGTAGATTTCCTCGGCTGCGGCAGTGGACTTGTCGTAAAGGTACAGGACACCGTCGATAATGTAGAATGTGGCATCCTCCATGTCCAGGCCAGCGAGGATGCTGCCCTTAGCGGCATTGAAGGCAGAGTACTGGACACCACTGCCAGAGTGAATGGCGACAACACCAAAGGTCTCGGACGGAGTAGCAGGAGCGGCCAAAGTGACGGCGGTGGCCGAGGCAGCGAGGATAATGTTCCTGATTTGCATCACGGCGGGTTGGAAATGAGGGATGGTGGCTGAAAAGGTGCGAGTTGGTTTAGTCGAGAGATGATTTGGAAGTTAGGCTAGGCAATGGACAGAATGAAAGGCAATACTTTTGGTTTTATATCTTCCTGGAGGTCAACACAGGCCGGCAATACGGATAGTATGCGGCACAAATCGACGCAAAACTGTACATATTTTCAAGGCTAGGCATCGGACTATCCCGCTAAATGACACCAGTATGCACTATTCGACGAGTATGGGGCAGTCCAGTTTTAGAGATAATAATGCATTAATTTCTCCGAAGAGCTCCCCTCAGCCCCCGAATATGCTTTTCTCCATCCTGGTCTCTTTTTGTCTTTTTGGGGGATCTATTTGCTTTGCTCCTATCATATGAAAGCGTACTATAGGATTCATATCAAACTATCCAGTTGAATATTACCAGCGCTCGTATTATCCTTCTGAATGACATTTCTAAGTGTTGCGATTTCTGCAGGCCCTGAATGCAAGGGTTCTCTCTCCACATCACCTGAAACAAGCCCAACCATGTTCTATAATTAAATCATGACCTTCCCGACCTGGCCCGTCATGCACCGGAGGACAAAACAGTCTAAGACATATCCCAAACCTGTTTTCACCGTTTCTTTTGGGGAGATAACTTGTTGTGGCTCTCTTCCGCACTCTAAAAATACACAGCGGTGTTCTAAAAACAACAGCGTGGTTAGTCAGGGGTCATGGTTTTCACTGAGGTTTTCATCGTCAGGTAGTCTGTATGGCTACTGACTGTTGTGGAAAAATACGCCATTCCGGAGTTCGGTTTCATGAGGGCTCTAATCATACATAATCTTATACCACATGCAAAAGAGACGAAATGGGGGAAGACAAGAGTGTTGTTGAGAATTATAGCGTATAAACAAACTTTTATAATGGCAAGCCAGACCCAAACAAGCAAATTCCCCGTAATACAAGGGTGATACATGAGAAACCGTCATGATATAATACGACCATGAAAACGTGACGACCATAAAGGACGCTTTATAAAAGACATCAGATGCTGTCTCCCAGCTCTTAGCATCATCACCATAAAACACCCTCCAAGCAAGCAATAGCAACCACGGCAGCAATCCTCCTCAACGCCAGTATTATCGAAATGAAAGTTTCCACCCTCATCGCTTTGGCCGCCTCGGCCTCGGCTGCTACCATCCAGAGCCGCCAGGTCTGTTTTTTCCGGTTCCCAGACTTATTTGGTTTGTCGCCTAACCTGCTCCTAGGCCTTGAACCTCGGAATTGGCAAGTTCCACGCCGACTGCATTCCCCACAGCACCTATTGCAGCTACGACTTCACCGTCACCTCGGACCCCGTCCTACCTGAGAGCCATTGCAACGCCTTCATCCAGGGTCCCGACCAGCTACCCAGCATTTCCGAGGGCAGCTGCAAGGACAACGCCGCCTACACTTGGTCCGTAACCGACAAGGTTGACGGCGGTCTCGACTTCGCGATATGGTACCCCTTCAATAGCCGCAGCAACATCACCTACTGCCACTCCATCCCCGCCAGCCAGATCAACACGGAGAATAACGGAGCTGTCCAGACTGAGCACTACAGGGGTCCCGTGAACTTCACTGCTGCCGTATTTGACTGCCCCAGTGCTTAATTTACTTGCGGCAAAGACAGATGCGAAACAGGCGTGGTACGGTGTCAGCTGGAACTTTAGAAGAGCCCTCACTCAAGCATGCACCCCAGTCAAATAAAACAATTCAACCAATTCCTGATTTCTCTCTTCAATCAAGTCAATTCTAGTAATCACGAAGTTAACATGACGTTGAGATGTGCGATACTGTATCTGAACTGCAAGACCATCGCACTGCCCTGGCTCTACCCTGTACAAGATGGTCATATATAGGTGGCACTTCTACATCCAATGTAAAGCTATAGTCCGATTAGTACCTGCTCCCCTGTTTAACCTACGTTAAAACATCCCCTTCCCCGTCAACACGACATGGTACCAGCGACAGGATGCCAGGCCCGCGGCATGTCTATGTTTAATGAAATGTAATTCAGCTGTATGCCACCTAGGCTCCTACTGCTGGCTAGATCCAAGCGGTAAAAAGCATCGGCTCCGAACGCAAACTCCCAGTGTTACGAAACCCCTGCAGCCGCCGCTTATTTGAGGGCCGCAATATACAATATTCAGATGTTACCCACCCTTGGGAAGACAAGAAACATTATACCCTATATAGAAGGATGACCTGAGCACTAACCTGAGTAGTACCTACGGAAAAGACAGGGTAGTCGTTTCTAGCTTCCTTTTCCCACGATATTTAAAAGGGCGGCACAATACCCGAAATTTGCAAACTGCACAAACATACCAAACAGCGGCGCGAATGCCGGAAATCCCGGAAGGCAGTGTATTCTTGATTGAACCATGGGAAGAGGGGAAGCCTTGAGTGAATACAAACTAATGTAACTATACAAGACATACAAGACATACAAGACATACAAAACATGCTAACACTCCAGCTGAGACCGGGATTTCCGAGATACCGCACGCTGATTGGTTGAATCGCCCCAAGGCAAACCTTCCATATCATGCAAACGTGCCAAACAGAGATGTACAGATCATTCATACTTTCAAGTACCCAAGTCCAAGGTATATAAGTATGCCTCGATTCCTAGATAGACAAATTGGTTTTCTTGATCATCGAACACTACAACTTTCAACTTTGGAAACAAAGGTAAATTCCCATCGCTTGCTTAAACTTCCCGAGAGGCATCTTTGTATGGGTCTTCTTTGGATTCCGGTCAAACCAAGGGATCTGTCTTTTTCCCCTTTTTCCCTTTTTATTTTTGACTCATTTGGTATATACTGATTTTCAGTCTTAGAAGTTTGGCGAAAAAAGCGATTTCCACATCCCACTCTTTGCCAGAAAGGAATCACTACATGTGAGCCGAAGTGGGATACTTTATTCCGTACAGAAAAAGCTAATGTATCCTTCTAGCATTATAATGCCTCACCCCCTTCTACAGAAGATGCGTCGATTTGTTGAGTTCATAAACTCGGGCGATGAAACTATAGGGCAACAGGTGGTTTCCAAATCAGCCGTGTTCCACGTTCCATTTTCAGATACCCCACTGAAAGGATTGTCCGGATACATGCAGATCCTTGGCATGATGCGTTCCGCCTACCCAGATATCCAGTGGACACTTGACGATACAGTCATCGAGGACGATAGAGTTGCAGCACAGTTCACTCTGCGTGGAACTCACGAAGGCGAATTCTTCGGTGTTCCGGCTTCCGGGAAAAAAGTCCAAGCACGAGCTATGAACATTTATCGGTTCACAGATGGAATGATTGTGGAGGAGACTGGCTTGCCCGATCTGTTTGGAATAATGCTGCAAATTGGGGCTGTGAGCCCTCCGGTTGCTCATTAGGCAATTTCCAGGGCGCTCTGAGAATGTCAATCCGGGATTCAACATTCATCATCGATCTTTGTACAGTAATTAGTCCACACCTCATGGTAGGCTAATACAAACGATATAAGGCGACACATGGCTACCATGAACTGAACCCCATTTTCACGCTATAGGACGAGGTAATACTGAGGATAAATCGCGCGGCGAAGAAGCTGTAGAAGTATAATGGACTAGTGCGCATAGTGAATCCTGTTTAATATTTCAGGCTCTTAGCCTGGGAGGGGTCTTTGATGACTATGATCCGGACTCTCGGGTATCTCTAAATACAATCAAACAACTACCTTGAAAGCCCATATCATCTTGAACCAGGTCTCGGCTTTGGAGGGGCAGCGTCAGCCAACAAAATGATCCCTCCAGATACAGATATCTGGTAATCAAAATTTTCACTAGTCGTGCTCGGAAGGATGGAATGTCCAGGATAGAGGGCTACTGAGGTACGGGGATTTGTATAGGAGTTTTGTGTAAAGTACGATACTATAGGTAATGCGGTCGTTCTGAACTTAAAGAAGATCTACTAGTATTGTTGGAAACAACATAGCTTAGCGTGATTACCCAGTACGGGCTGAGAAACAAAGCGAGAGTGTCTGGGGTTAAGCTGTATTCTGATCGGCCAGGGCACACTCGATGGAACACCGCGACATCAGCGGCGGTAGTAATCAAAAATCAAAGACCTCAGTAACCCGACCTGCAAACGCACATGTGCAATTTCTCAACAATTCTGCCCCCAAATACTCAACGACTGGAGTCTTATGCAATGGATCAAACGCGCTCGTCGATGGGAACCGAAGACTGCCAACACCCTCCCACCGCTCACCCTCGAGCGCCTTGAAAGTGACTGGGACAAACTGGCGGACACTTGGCTTGGCTCCAGTGATGCTGTTGGGAATGAGTCTCAAGTTAAGACCCACATTTTCTGGTGGTGGGATAGGACCAGTTCCAATATAATTGGAAGGCTTGAACAGGAACTCAACGATTGGGTTACCAATTGGTCGTGAGACGGTCGCAGTGACGAACGCCATTACGCCAGCATTCTTCTTCAGGTCAAAATCAATATCGCCTAGTACCTTGGGGTAGCCATATGCCTCCCGTCCACCGTACACAGCATCTTCATTGTTCAGAACCAGAAGGATGGAGTAGTCGTACTTCTTTCCTTGGTATGTGACTTCGACTTGATGAATCAACTCTTTGTAGGGTCCAATGATGCTGAATCCGTAATCAAGCACCCATGTTGTGATTATGGGATGTTCTTCCAAGGAAAGCTGTTCCGGGACCAACTCTCGAACGGACACACCACTGGTGCGATATTTGATTTTGAGTATGTCGACACCAGTGAAGATAGGTGCGGTGTTTCCACGGCCATAAGGGGTGGCGTGAATGGGAATCGAATGTAGTTCTGTGATTGGAATAGCGCCTTGAATGGATGTCATAATGAAGATGCCTATGCTATGGGGGTGGAAGTGTTTGATTTATCTATCTGGGTACATCGCTTATATATTGCTTGCGGTTGTACCGAATATTCACAAATATTCCTGTTCCTTCCGGGGCCCAATAACCTTTGACAGCATTCCTGAACATGCAGACCGTGGTTTGAGTTCAAAGATCATCGTTTTGGCATAATTTTTAATCTGTTCTTATTAATACCCAGTATGTACTTTATGTCCAAAAGCCTTGCCGAGATCCCGCCCAACGGTTCCCCGGAGATGCTGTTTCAATACTTGAATTCGAGACAATCGTCGTTTTGGAGATAATTTTCAAATCCAATCCATGAGAGCTCATTAATGCACAGCTTATGCCTTATTTATGTCCAAAGGCTTTCCCGAGATACCGCCCAATGATCTCCTGAACATGTTCATTCAACATTGAGTTTGAGACAATCGCCTTCTTGACCATGATTTTGAATCCATCGAGGCCAGTTGATCCGCATTTTGTGCCTGAATTATGTTCAGAGTTGTGTACATTAACTACCTGGCCCATCGCAGCCCATCGTATCCACCCCTAATCATAGGCACTTGCATAGGCACTTGTTAATTGGATCCGGACACGTCAGTCGACCGATAACGCAACGTCCCATAGGAGAAAGATACCGCTTCTTCTCACTGAACCTCGGCTGGCGCAAGAAGATCACTAAATAATGAGCTGATCTGCGGACAAGCCAGTCCCGCAATGCGCACCGTCCCCGAATTCAGAGGGTATATAACGTCCGAACTCTGTAATATTTCTAGGTTTTGCCCCAAAGCATAAAATTCTCACTACTTTTCTATCACCTGTCAAAATGCATGACTCGCGCTTTGAATATGTCTCGGGCAATGTCGCCGCGGCCATTCTTATTCTGGTAGGATCCTAAAGCTCCCTCAGACCAAGGCGGTAGACCCTGTGGTATGGATATGGGTAGTCCATGTTAATCAACTTACCTACAGACCATCCTGATGCCCGTCCTACGGGTATTCTACAATCTCTTTTTTCACCCGCTGCGCAAATTTCCCGGCCCGCTATTATGGCGCGCCTCGATCATTCCCAGCATGAACGCGCTGGCCCGAGGCAAACTGGCTCACGCCGTAGCCGATCTCCATGAGCAGTACGGCCATGTGGTGCGAATAGCTCCGAACGAGATCTCGTTCACCGAACCTGATGCGTGGAAGGATATTTGTGGGCACCGTATCGGCGCGAACAAAGGGAACGAAGAAATCGGCAAGTATCAGCTTTTCTACCGATGTCTAACAAAGCCGACAAACATCATCAACGCCTTGAAGCACGAGCACGCCCCATTGCGCCGCCAGCTGGCGCATGGTTTCTCAGATCGCATCATGCGCGCACAAGAACCTGACATGAAGAAATACATCGATCTTCTCATACGGCGACTGCATGAGAAAGGCACGGATCCTATCACCGGACAACTTATCCCCCTGGATATGGCCTCATGGTACAACTACACCACATTCGACATTATAGGAGACCTAGCGTTCGGCGAGTCATTCGACTGTCTCCAGGACTCCAGCTATCATCCATGGGTCAAGATCATCTTTGAAAGCCTCCGCGAGGTCGCGTATATCCGAGCCCTCACTTTGACTGGACTGGGAGTAATCGCGGAGTGGGCGCTCGCTATGGTAGGGAAGGCCCGAGCAGATAATATGGAACTTGTGACCCAGAAAGTTCTCAGGCGCATGGAGACGAGATCTGACAGGGATGACCTTGTCGCAGGCCTTCTGAAGAAAAAAGATGAAATGGTATGACTGCTTTTCAAAGCCCACCCATCCCCAACCCCGAAGACTCTCATACGACATGCAAAGTCCGACGGTTTCTTGTTTTATTTTTTACTCACACGGGTTTCAGGGTCTCACAATGGACGAGCTCACAAGCAACTGCTTCATATTGATCGGAGCGGGTTCAGAAACAACGGCCACCTCGTTGTCTGGCACAACGTACTTCCTCTTAACCAATCCGGAAGCCCTGCGGAAGGTCACCGAAGAAGTCCGCTCGAGATTCCACAATGAGGACGAGATCACTCTGACATCGGTGGCTGACCTCCACTACATGCTGGCGTGTATCAATGAGAGTCTGCGACGCTATCCTCCTGTTCCGAGCGGAATGCCACGCCTGGTCCCTCAAGGAGGCGCAACTATCGCCGGGCACTATTTGCCGGAGAATGTAAGCTCCGGTATTCTCTATGGCTATTTGTTTAGTTTCCATTCTGGAATGAAACGGTATGCAGCACAAATGATATAGGCGCTAATGAACGGTTTTAGACTATTACTGCTATCCCCCAGTTTGCCATGAACCATAGTAAGCAGCACTTCACCGATCCTTGGGAATACCGACCAGAGAGGTACCTGGGCGATCCCAAGTACGCCAATGATAAATTGGATGTTGTGCAACCCTTCTCGTTTGGACCAAGGAACTGTATTGGACGAAAGTATGTGATTGGTTTATTTGTAATCCCAGGATTGTGCTAACCATGATCACCGTCATGAAGCCTCGCGATCTCTGAGATGCGTCTTATTCTCGCTCGTGTTCTCTTCAACTTCGATTTGTTACCGGGTGATGGTCTCGATAAGTGGTATCATGGGCAGCTAGTTTACTCCATTTGGGACAAGGCTTCACTGCAGGTGTACATGAAGCCAGTACAGCGCTAAAGATGGCTGTTTGAATTGTTGTACGAGGCAATGACTATATAACTATATACATAAGTGGGTGCTGTACAATTCGAGCAAGCCAGTAATGCAAAACCCATTTTATCCTACGCGGATATAATTATTGTCATTCTCGGTTCGGGTCTTTGATTAGCATGCCCAATAATATGTTTGGTGTGACACCCTAGATGAAGTGGTCTCGTAAGTCACAACCGTGCTACTGATAAATTGGCTTGTTTGGAGAGCCAAATTTAAATTCCTGTCTCCAGTTTGTCACTAGCAGAAAAGTGTATTATCGTCTATCAGAGTTGCCCCTCCCATCATTCCTTAATACTTACATTGCAAAGTCTCAACAACAGCACCTTCACAGGCGCATCTCTAGAAGGAGATTAGTTCTCTGGAGGGTTAAATGGAGCTAATTTCAAAATGTTTCAAAACAGTATCATACTCAAAGCACTGTGGCATTTCAGACCAGGCCCATGAGTCCTCTCGTAACCTTCGTCATTTCTGTAGCCCTGAAAGCATGTAGAAGTAGGCTAGTGTTGTCACTAAGGGTCTATAGAGGATTCCACTTTCTAGAAGCGAGGATAGTCAAGTTGCAGGTAAAATATTTTCTTCAGGGCGACTTTGCTGGGTCTTGTAGCGCAGCCTTGAGATATCCACGTCGTTGTTAGAGATCCATGAGAATTCACCACGACTGCATCCTAAAAAAAGATTAACAGTTCATAGACACCTGTCGACAAGGCTCGGTTATAAGCCCTTGTACCATCATGCTCCCTAGGTTTTCACCATTGATACCGTTGCATTCTAAATATAAGCTGAATGGTCATGGAATGTCTCTCGACATTTTACCTTCGAGCTATTTTGCGTAATTTCATTCGGACTTTCTTTACGTGTATCGAGGGCACTTCCTTCCAGGGACAGGAAATAGAATTCGGACCCAGTTGCCGACTATGGGATCACTCCACAAGCATAGCCTGCAATCTTGTCTTGATATATGAATTGGAGCACAAAAACACAGACTTCTCGAATGAGTTCAGCCGCAATAAGAACGCACCCACAGGCTACTTAAGTCTGGGTGAGTCCATCATGCAGAATTTACTTTCTTCGGCCTTGTTTCCTTACTCCCAAGCAGTCCCAAAGAGAATATAGTGGGTTTTCTTTTATTACAATCAAACGATAGCAGAGTGTGGTATCGTGGGCTTCCCTCTATCCACCCGCTTCCCTACCAGAGGGAGAGTGACTATGTATCCGACGTCAACCAGGGAAAATTCACCCCATGACCGGAAGCCCTCTAAAAATGCATCCGCTTCCTGAGCTATCACTAGAGAACTTTGAAATCAATGAATTTCGGGTACGTCGCTTCTCTTCCACTTCGATCACCTTCGTGTTGGTTCTGATAATTCCCAAGCCAAGGCTTTTAGATATATCCACATTGGCAGAAGTGAAGGAGATTTAGAGGCATAATGTATAATCACAATAATGTCGACAGTCCTGATCTACTCTTTGCAGTTGTGTACTATAACGGGGGTGGTGAAATCATGCGCTGCGGTGGCTTCATGCGGCAAAAAACATATATGGCTTAGTTTGGCTACATATAAAAATTTCCGAAGTAAAGAGTTAGTGCAATGGAAGAACTCGGAGGAAGAGAAGGGCTTTAAGAGAAACCTTATGCATCTTATTGAATGGCCCCTACTTTGTTGGTTAGACCAGTGCAATTAGCACAAATTTGAGTAAGCAAATTTTGGAATTTGTCATCTCTCCTCGTAATGCGCCCTTAATTCTACTGAGATAATCCTACCACGTCGTCTATAATGTGATTGTCATGAGTTCAAAAAGAATTTGGAGTATATGGAAACAAAACAACGAAGAGAAAACAACAAAGAAACATCAACAAAGAAACATCAACAAAGAAACATCAACAAAGAAACATCAACAAAGAAACATCAACAAAGAAACATCAACAAAGAAACATCAACAAAGAAACATCAACAAAGAAACATCAACAACAAGAGACAAGAAGAGTTGAAAGAGGCTGCAGACCCTATAGAAAGTCCTGGATAGCTTAATTGAAACCAGTGAGTCACCCTATCCAATGATCCTCCTTTAGCTTCTAATATGACTTAGCTTCCAAGATTCTTCGTTAGTGTCACAAAAGCCTGGTTTCATATAAAAGTGTACCCTTCTGACGGACATAATTGAGAAGATAGTCGGACGTGGTGTTGGGATCTGAGTCAAACATGATAGGAGAACCTCTACTCACCGGAGGGAATTGACGAGTGAAAATCACTAGCTACTTGACGAGATTCAGAAAGCGGAGATCTACTTGAGAGACACGAAGCCATATTGAACGACTTATTAGGAAATAGTGCGCAAGAAACATCTATTGCGGGGGCAAACAGGCATAGTCGTCTACGACATTTTTACATGTATTAACTACTACTAGTAGTAACTTTGACATACCCAATGAGATAACTGGGTATATGATCTGGTCTGCCTACCTTTTCGATGAAATTATCCACGTACGTGGGTGGTACCTTCCCAGTGTCGCAGCTTCCCTGTTTGTCAAAACTCGTCCCCCACCCCAGTACCTTCCTGTCTTAAGCCACTGGGAAAGTATAAATACCCCCCCCCCCCCCACATTTCTCTCTTCTTCTTCTTTTTCTCTTCTATCCGTCCTCACGCCACACCCCCCGCCCCCCCTCTCCCCGGCGCCACCCGTCCCTCGGCAGGTGACGGTCCACTTCAGCTCCAGAGTCATATCCGATATATGTCTTCTGTTGTCCAGTGAAGGATGTGACCTTGAGGGCGCTGATGGCTCTTTGATGCGGCCCAGTTAAGGCTGTGAATGGCACGAAGCATGTGGGGTGGGTGCCTTAAAGGACCACTCAGGGAAACCAAAGATCCCTTGAGACCCTCTATAGGACCACTCAGGGAACCCTTGGGAATCCCTTGAGACCCTACTGGGTTACCAGGACCTCCACCTCTGCGGAAACAGACTGTACTTTTCTGGGTTCTCCACTGAACATCAGGAGATCTGAAGTTTACTCAGGTACGTCTCTTCTCTCCTTTATTTCTATTGTCTGTGTGTCTCTTTGTTACTTACCTAGGTACTTTACTTCTTCCTTTGTTCCCGTCCCCCTTCCCCTACCCAGTTGCACGGGTCCTGTGTGCAACACCTGGACAAGACTTGCACTTTTACGTGGTGTCCAGGATAAGTAGCCTTGATGGTGAAACCAAGCAAGTTCTTAGCTAGAATTGAAATATAACTTGATATTACCTATACTTCAATATCTTTTTGTAAATGCTTCTGTAGCCGGACTGGTAGTTTGACTTGCGCTCTGTAAACAACCTTGGCGTAGAACCTCACCTCTGTGGATACAGACTACTTTTCTGGGGGCTCTGCTCTCCTTCGACGCAATTTTTGGAGCCTTTCCATAGAGCTCTTTGTTGTCCGAAGAACTTCTTTCTAATGGTACTTTGTTTCTTCGAGGTTCCTTCTTGTGGTTCAACTTCTATTGTTATCTTCTAAGGTTGTTCCTCTGTCCACTTTGTTGTTGTCTTGTTGTTGCCACCATGTACTTCATTGATCTCACGTCGAGCTAGGTTGGCAGAAGCGTCAATAAAACCATCTGAGTGTGTCCGTTACATCCTGGAAGCCAAGCTCTCAGGTATAACTGGCAGCTTCCTCAGTTTACTCCTTCTATCCCAAGGGCACACATGGACATTCTACGTATGGACTACTATCTTTGGAATAGTGAGAAGAGCCCAAGAAGAGTTTGATAGGTAAAATTGATATGTAGACACGATAGGTCGATCGGGCAAATTCCTGCAGGCGCCTGTTCATGCCGACTCAACAGACATAAGCAGCTTGGCTTGAAAATACAGGGGTACTTTGTGCTGAATTTGAACCACGCAGTCGTCGCGCAAGAGCGAGGAATCGCGGGGACCGTTGCCGCAGCCAATCGATGGCATGCAGCAGATACTGGCAATGGGAAATAACACGCAGCCCCGGAATGACAAACAGGTTACGGAAACAGACGTGGTAAAGTAAACAATTGCCATCGATGATGTAGTTTCGAATGATCGCCTCTAGCACGACAAGATCAGGACAGGCGATCTTATAGGCCCATGGACCTGGTTTATCTCGGCAAAAAAAACTTGATGACCTCGGGGACTGTCCACTTGGCGGGGTCGTTGTCTTCAGGATACACGATCACAGCAGAGAGAAAGTTACCACGGCGGTGAGGAGCGATAGGGTCCTGCATGTAATTAGCATGCCGCTCTAGTCATTTGGCGGGCATGTGTTTGCATTACCTGGCCAGAACCATCAAGCTCGAGAATAGCCCAACTCGAACGCAGACGCGAAGGCCGAGGAGAAAAAGACGGGCAGATGGTGGTTGAGTCAACAGCTGGCTGTGTTTGCATTGATGGGTCATGATCCTCAAGGCGAAGCTGCCCAAAGCTCGAACATAGACCCGGAGCATGGGGTGGAAGCAGCTGGTCATGGTGCTCAAGGCAAAGGCGACTGAAACTCGAACAAAGACTGGAGGGATGAGATGATTGGGCCATGATGGGGGATTCAGTGCCACGGAATTGTCGACGTTGAATGGGATGGAGTCCATGTAATTTTCTAAAAGAAGGATGACGAGAAGAACGTAAACAGGGAGATGGGAGAAAAGAAGGAAGACGAAACAATTTTCTCGTCACCTATGTCAACGACTAACTATCAAAGAGTCAGCCGCATCCGAGCTCTAGCACCCCACCGGACCTCTATTGCAAAAGAGCCTCAAGATCTGCAACACGAGTACCTCTATCCTCAGCTTTCTTTTTCGCTGTCTCCCGGAAAGCAGCAAGCATAAGATTCCTCTTACGCTCTTGAATCGCCAACACCCGCTCCTCAATACTATCTTCCATAACCAGTCTCCAGACCGTCGTCTCCCGCTTCTGCCCAAGCCGATACACCCGGTCAACAGCCTGATCCTCGATAGCAGGCGCCCACCAGCTGTCGCACAGGATGACCTGATTCGCTGCAACAAGATTGAGACCAACACTGCAAACACTCAGACTTGCGAGGAGGACGGTACACTCAGGGTCGCTGGAGAATGAGTTGATGGAGTTGTCGCGTTTCACAGACTGCATCTTGCCATCTACGCGGGCGAACTTGACCCCACGCTGCTGAAGGTGCGGCTCAATGAGATCCAGAAATGAGGTCCATTGGCTGAAAACGACGGTCTTGGTGCCTGGTGCCTGGCCCTGAGCAGTCAGGATCTTGACCAGGGTCTCGATCTTGCTGCTTGGACTGTTGGGGTCAGCCTCAACGATGTCGGTGTCTTCACCCAATTCCACAGCTGGGGAGACGAGTGTGCTTGTTTCGTTGATGTCTGCGCGGCAGAGCGGACACTTGTGCTGGCGTTCGATAACCTGTTCGATGCAGCCCCGGCAGTAGGAGTGGGCACAGGCGGTTATGACGGGTTGGTCAAGGTTGTCGAGGCAGATGGCACACATTTCTTGGCTTTCTATCTGGAGCTGCAGCATCTCTTGGAGAGCACGCACGTTCTCAGGTGTCAGAGGTACGACCTTGTGTTCCTCCAGCATGCCCATGAGTTTGTCAATGCGGTTCTTGCAGAGCGCCCAGTGATTGCAGACTTGACGAAGACGGAGAAGAACCTCGAGGAGGTGAGAGTACTTAGTTTTGCCATCTTTGTCCTTGAAATCGAGAAGAGCACCTTGGGCTTCGGTCCTATGATTGTTATTAGCAAACGGGTTTTTACTGTGTGGGTAATCAATCGATACATACTGGAAAGCACTGTACTTCTCCCTTTCATGGGCGTTGAACTTGATTCGAATGACACGAGATGTCATCTCCGGTAGCTTCAAATTGATGAAGCCCATATCCTTCCTACGTCGTAAGCAGATGGTCCCCATGAGAGCCTCAAGAAGGAGTCGAGCCTCGGGCTCTCCTGAAGTCAAGGGTCGAATCAAGACACTGTTGAAGATCCCCAGATCTTCCAAGCCGCCGGTAAGCTTCAGGAAACGAATTTGCGCATACAAGTCCTTCAGAGTGTTGATAATGGGGGTTCCGGTCAGGGTCCAGCGGGAGTCGGCACGCAAACCACAAGCTGCAAGGGAAGCCTTAGAACTGGGATTGCGGATGATATGGCCTTCGTCAAGTACGACACGACGCCAGTGCAGCGAAAAGATGCCCTTAACAGGCACCTTATTGGCATTGGGATTAAAGTCCAGGGCCAGGGCTCCATAGCTAGTAATCACAACGTCATACTTGGCCAAATTCGCAGCTTCCTTCTTCCCAGAGCCGTGGTAGATCAACACACTCGGGGCGGTCTCCTTGTGGGCATGGTCCTGGATCTGATTTCTCCAGTTGCTCATGACACCGACAGGGGCAATGATCAAAGTGGTCTTAGATGAGCCTGCAGTAAGAGTCTTTGTATTTGCAAGAATCAAAGAGATGATTTGGATTGTCTTGCCCAAGCCCATGTCATCAGCGAGAATGCCACCGCTGGCAAGGGCTGGCTCTGTGGCCGTGGCATAATTTGTTGCGACATTGAGGAACTCATTGTTTTCCCGTTTCCACAACTGCACGATATCACCGGAGCCCCTTCCAGGAAAGCTTGGCGATTCTTGTTTGATCATCCAAGCTAGTCCTTGGCGCTGATACGGAAGCAACTGGGTGGAAAGCCCGGCTGGGGTGTCGACCATTGGCATATTGACCATGTCAGACTCTTTCTGTCCGAACGTTTCCACAACCTGGCCAATATCTCGGGGATTGAAGGTGGAGCTCTGGCTCAGAAGTTCCTCCAAGCTCTCATTTTGCTCGCCACCAAGTCCCGTTCGGGTCGAGAGGTTCGCATACTCTGAGTTCTGGTTGGCTTGCCATTGTGACGCAGCTTTTCCAAGAGCCATGGCGCGAGCTTTTTTTGCGGCCTCCTTCTGCTGTTTTTCGGCTGCTTTCTCTGCCTTGCGCTCCTCGCGTTCCAAGTCACTCAGTTGCCGAACAGGAAGCCTGTCATTCTGCATTCGTTGCTTCAGATTGGATCGTTTGGTAGGATCGCGCGGTCCAAACAGCTTCAAATCAACCGGACACACATAAGCGCCAATCACGCCAGTCAATGTGCCTTCAATAATGAGATCGCGAGCATCCTTTAATAACGAGCGTCAGCAATGTCTCGGAAGCAATATGATCAGGGAATCTTACGATGTATGACGCCAGCTTGGCTGCCATTTGTCGCGGAATGTGGCCAATTTGGGCGCCCATAACATTATCAACCCTAATAGCATTGCTATCATATTTATTATTGGCATCCCGATTAATGATGACCCGTTCTCCTGGGTTAGCACGACCCCTGTAAAAGCGTACACCAACGATATTTGTAGAAACAATACCTATTTGGTATTATTTAGCATAATTTATAGAGCATACGTCGGTGCGAACCGAAATTATTAAAAAGGGGGCGTACCATAGAGGATGGAGCTTGTTAGAGAGGTTTCATCCACTTCCTGAGATCCTTGAATCACATTGAGCGCTTCTTCATCCTCTTCGTCGGCGCCAAATACTTGCGACAACTGATTCAGCGGAATGAAGTCGGCGGACTTGCCAAATCTCTGGCCTGGGCTATTATCCTGGTCCAAGGGAATGTAGTCGACAGACTCGCCGAATCTTTGGCCTGACCTGGCCTTTTCGGTGTTCAAAGTCGGATCTGCGCGAGTTGATTTTGGCACACGCCCAGACTGTGCGTACAAGTCATCTCCGGTGGAAGCGACATCAGACTTGCGTTTTCCTGCCATGTTTCTCCAGCTTCATCTAACGTAGTTGGTGCAAGCTTCGGCAATGATGAAGATGGGGGTTATTGTGGACTGATGGCGAAGTGATAATGTACCTGGGTCCCTAGGCTGTTTCTCAACAGTATCGTCTCGATTGATAAGTTTCAGTAGCAAAGGACGACAATGAACAGATAACGAATTGTTACTTCAGGGCTGTCACATTACGCCATATAATCACCAATTAGGCTTAGCGCCCGACGCGTCTAGACACGGCTACACGTGACCGATAAGAAACCGACTAGTCACGTGGCACAAGGCACGCAGAAGATAAGCTGATAACTCCGGGGCCGGTAAGTGGACGCTCAGTGCGGAGTACACGGCGAGAGCCCCACGGGGTACCCTCCCAAGGTTAGTGTTGATATAACGAGCACGACAACAAGCTGATCGCGGAAACCAAAATTTATCAAAAATATTCAGGGATATTCCAAGGTCCCGCAATATACCATCTCATATATACACTTGTTGCCGGTCTGGTTATAAGCTCTTGTGCGGAGAAGTCCCGACTTTTGCGTGGGTATGCCCGTCCCCGGATTTTATCCGTTCCAAGGTTGTTCCACTGATGCATTGACAGTCATTTTACCCTACGTCTTTCGTTACAAATCATGTCAGTTTCGCAGGTCAGAGTGATGCCGTCCTATCAACCATTCCAATGTCTTGTCTGCCAAAGTCGATTTACTCGACATGAGAACCTCAAGCGACATTCAACGCTACATTCCCGCTCTCATGCTGAAGCGTCGCTCCCCTGCGACTTTTGCCACGCTACCTTCTCCCGTCCCGACTTGCGCAATCGCCACATGAAGAGGAAACATCCAGAGCATGAGCAGCACCGAAGTACCAAGAGGACACGACGCCAAACAGCACCCAGACAAGACAGTCTGCATTCTTCTGCATCGCCGACAGCGGTCTCACCTGTAGGAAGTCATGGTGGCTTTCCTTCTCCCGGAACCCTGCGTTTGAGTCCAGGAGATGAGAGGAGCTTCAGCAGTGATGCGATCTGGCGCCCAGTGATGCAGCATCAGCTGCAACAGCAGCAGCAGTTTGACCGTGCCCATCCCGCGGAAATTCCAAATATTGCTACGCCAAGGACTGGGGTAGCCGAGACACAACCGACAAAGGGCCCGTTACAAAGACAATCGACAACGAGCGATTCTGTTCTCATCGATCAGATTGTCCAGGACGCTACAGATCTGGAGCGGAACTTACTATTAGGGGCATCCTTTCCGAGGCACACCAACCACCTTGACAACCAAATATATCCGATCCTGGCCACACAAGCCGAGCCAGCTGATACGAGTCTAGCTGAGTACAGTTTCAACCACTCGATTTTGGATAGATTGTCGCCAAATGACATCCCCCAACTCCAAGACGATTGGGCCCCGACTGCCTTACAAATGTCACGAGGCTGCAATATATTTTTCGCCTCAGTCTCTCACTTCCTCCCCTTTCTCCATTCGTCAACTTTTGATCCAACACAAGCTGCTCCTCATTTGGTGCTCAGTATGCTTTGCCTAGCCTATCAATATGGTGAGGACCCAGAATGTGGGGACCAAGAAGGCTCAGGCGAAAGCTTTTCTATACGTTGCTTTCATAAGGCTCGAGCTCTCCTTGCTTCTGAAGAAGAGAGGTCCGATGCTTCAACAATGATCACCACTCTGGTCCAATCATACTTGCTCCTTCAAATATGTGCCATGATGTACCTTTGCGGCGACAATTCAGCATGTGGTCTCAAGATGCATTCGCATATGATCTCGCTGGCTCGCACTGGCCGAATGACACAACCGATGACTGTTGAATCTGGTGCGACCGCAGATTTGGAGTCATTATGGCGGGAATTTGTCAAAGCTGAGTCGCACAAACGGACCCTTTTCGCAGTGCATCAAATCGACGCGCTATGGTACCAATTCCTTTCTATTCCTCGCTCAATCTCACACCTGGAAATCAAGCATGATATGCCCTGCCCAGAAGACCAATGGTCATCATCCTCTGCTGCCGAATGGGCCCATCGACAACTTGTTGCAAGAAATACCGGCCCCTCGGTCACGTACACCGATGCTGTTCGACGCTTCCTTTCCTCTGATGAGGACATCGTATCCCTTCCGGCATTTGATCCATACGGCGCCATTAACATTGCGCAATTTCTGATCTCTAGCGCCCGGGAAATCTCAGGATGGTCTACCATGACGGGAATGCTCAGTATGGAACGATTCGGCGCATTAAAAACATCCCTCATCGCACTTAACCCGTTCATCTGCCCCGGCAATCACACGGCGCAAACAAATCATGCGACTCCATGTGCTGCAACTTGGGAGACTGCCATGATCGAGCTGCAGATGTGGTCACCATCTCATACCGGCGGGATTGTGGAAGGAAGTATAGATGCCGTTCTCAGTCATTCAACATACCTAGGGCCGTCGCAGTTCCTGTGTGATATCAACACGGCAAAGGCTATACAACCACATGTCAACTGGTTCCTACGATATCTCGATGAGACGCTCGTACTGGACTTCGAAGCCCCATGGGTTACTTTGTATGCGTATAAAGCCTTTTTGATTGCCTGGCAGCTAATGCATGTTGGTGTACCTGGCGCAATGGACACCGTGGGCGTCCATGATGCTGATATGGAGGGAGCTCTGATGTGGGCGCGAAAGGTATTTCAGCGAAGGCAGAAATGGCAGCTTGGGAAACTCATCTTGTCATGTTTGGATGAGTTAAACAAATGAACCACAACCTTCCTATGCTCTGGAAATTCATCGATACGTATATGTCTTGTGTTATTTTATTTTGCAGGTTTGGAGAGGCCCAGTCATTTTCAACTATATTCCATTGTTATATTCATTTACTACTTAAGCTAGAATATACCATAACCATGTGGCACAAACTTATATGGATTCCAGCAATAGAAGAGTAATATAATACAAAACAACGTAATCAGTACATCTCGTAGCGCCAGTTGAGCTGTACCATTTCCTCTGTGACGCCACCCTTGATCACCTTGGCTATTTCCAAGGGGTCGCCCGAGTCCAGACGTTTGTTCTCGCGCAGGACGAGCCATCGGTATACAGTAATTATGAATCCGAACAGAATAGCAGCACCCATAAGCGTGCCAAATGCAGCATAGAAATGGGGCTCTCCGAAGTATAGGTACGAGGTCCAGATATTGGATGTACCACCGATTGCGTTAACTAAAGCTGAGGCAGCCGCTCGCTTCGAGACGGGTCGTGCAAGGTGCAGGTTGATGGTTTTGTAGAGGAGGAGCTGAGGACCCACGGAGGCGAAGGGTAGAATCATCATGGAAAAGTAGCGGGCACCAACGTTTGTACTCGCAATGGGAATGATGTACATCGGGATCGAGATGGCGATACAAAGGAGGATGATTGGGTAGACGGTATTCTTTCGGTCGGAGTAGAACATGAGACCGTAGTAGACTATGCCGGCAAGGACATAGGAGAGGTGCCGTGAGAAGCAAGCTGAGAGTGCTGGAGAAGTTGAGCGAGCCCACAAGGGTGGGAAAGTAATTGGCGATGGAGCCCTGGGTTTGGGATAGCATGTTGCAAAGGATGAGGAGCACCAGCTTTGGGTCTGAAAGGGCTTTGGAAAACCCTTTCAACGCGCTCTCGTCCTCTGTGCCCTCTGCAGCACCAGCTTCAGACTCAATACGCCACACGGCGCAGTCGCGTTCAAGCTGGGAGAGGACGCGGCTATTGTGGGGGAACTCTGGCATGATGCAGGCGCAGATAATGCCAATTCCGACAGTGGCGCTGCCCTCGATGATAAATAGCCACTGCCAGCCGCGGATGCCGTGGTGCCCATCAAGTTGTAGGATAGCTGCGGCGAAAAGCCCGCCGAAGGCATTACCGACTTGCTGGGCGATATATAGCCCGGCAATACGCTTCCCTAGCTCCCTCTTTGTGTACCAGGCAGAGAGGTAATAGATGGCTCCGGGGAAGAAAACAGCTTCGGCAGCTCCGAGAATCGCTCGAACAGCGAGGAGTTGACCATATGTCGTGACCGCGGCTGTACAAGCCGAGATACAGCCCCAGAGCACCACAGCACCACATATATACATGCCTGGTCGGGAGACCTTTGTAATGATGAGGTTGCTGGGAATTTGGAAGGGTAGATAGCCGACAAAGAGAATGGAAATAGCCGTGGCGAATTGCTCGTTCGACATGTTTAAGTCTTCCATGATGCCCTGAAGTTTAGCAGCTGCCAAATTTTGGCGATCGATGTAGTTGAGGATATACAGGATGCCAATGGTTGGAAGGACGAACAAGTCAACCTTGCGGACAATCTTCTTGTTGAGATTGTTCAAGTCATCGTCGCTGAGTGTGCGAAGGGATTCTGGCAAGCGGTTGTAGGCATCGACTTGCCCTTCTGTCGACGAGACATTGTCTTCGTTCAGGACAGACAGTTTCTTGTCCATAGGGGAGAACATGGGGGGGGGGTCAGGGTGGAGGTGGTGCTTCTGCTGATTGCCAAGACCACAGCAAGTATAAACGATGGAGTATGTTGCACAGGGAGTGTTGCAGGTTGCAGGCTGTGTCTTATAGACAATACTTGAGCTCCCCTATATAGCTCAACCCAGTCGCTGCCTTTGACCTCCGTTTCAAAGAATTTCGAGGCATTGATTGGTCGAGATTTGTCGAGATTCAGTCATTCGTAGTTGATAAGAGAGACGAGTAGATAGCCCTCAAGATAGGCGTACGAAGGGGGGCCCGGTAGCTAACTGTCCAATTGTAGTCAATTACCCTGGATGTAGAGTTTGGTTGAAATCTGGGGTGCATTGAGCTAGGCTTGGGAGGAGCTCTCGCATGTCGGTAAGAAGTTTTGGGGAGGAGGTGCAGGTGGGCTCCGCTCTCGGACAGACCTTGTTAGCGGCCATTAAGACAAATCTCACATTTACGGGAATGAGCCCCTACGATATCCGAGAACGCCAGGAGGGCCGCTAATCCGAATTGTATCTAGGTAAAATGCAATAAGCCACCAAAGGTTTGTTACCAGTGTGCCCTAACTACATGCAAGAGCTCATGTTTACCATCTTAAAGCTCCTCATTTTATTCGATTTTATTTATCTTCAGTCTAGAATGAGGGGTCTGTCTCATTATACGTAAGTCAATAAACGATATTTAAACTGGCTTTTTATCGACATCTGCCCTCTCCATCTCACTCTCAAACCTCCAATAACTCCAAATTATTGCTTCTATTCTCTAATACCTCTACCATCACAATGGCCTACCCTACTGCTCTCACAACCTCGATCGATAACTCTCGATTGAGGCTTCTCAACAAGATGAAGGCCGGCGATTTTCCGCTCATGACCTTCATGGCCATCCCCTCCGTCCGCCAGGCCCAAATCGTTGCATTGACCGGTGTCGACGGTATCATTATTGACTGCGAGCACGGTCACATTGGTGACGATGCCATGCATAACTCCGTCGCTGCCATCTCCGCCCTCGGCGTCTCCCCGGTCATCCGCATCCGTGGCCCTGCCCACGATATCCTCAAGCGGGCCCTCGATACCGGTGCCCATGGTATTATGGTTCCCCAGATCAACAATGCTGAAGAGGCAGAACAAATTGTCGCTTCTTCCAAGTTCCCTCCCCAGGGTGTGCGAGGCCAGGGCTCGGCTTTCCCCGCAATCGGCCACGGCCTCACAACTCCCGAGTATATGAAGTCCGCCAACGAGACCATCATCTCCATGATCCAAATAGAGACTCGTGCCGGAGTCATGAACGTCGATGCTATCTGCGCTGTGCCAGGCGTGGACCTTGTCTTCATTGGCCCCAACGATCTTGCCCAGTCTCTGCTTGGATACACACCTGCTCGCGGCGATGAACCTGAATTTGTTTCTGCTGTTGATAAGATTATTGCTGCTGCGCGTAAACATGGGAAGTGGGCCGGTCGTATGGTCAACAATGGTACGGCGGCTAAAGAGGCTCGGGAGCTATATGATACCGTCGCCATTACTGGTGACACCAAGGCCATTCAAAACTGGTACATGGCAGAGTTTGATATTGCTCGTTCATGAGAGGACGATTGCGTGATACCTTAAGATAGACTTTATATAAATTTTAAATAGACGAATAGGGGTTCAATGCAATTGTACTCAATTAAATCCAACTTCAATTTCGGAGAACCTCCGATCCGACTCCATGTCTTGGCTCGGATATGGGAAAGTAAGAGACTAGTCCTTTTCATCCCCCAAAGCAGACTCTCTTACTCTAGCCAAAATGGAGGGGAAAAAAGGACAATACGCATTGCTCAAGGAAATCATCGTCCTATCTGTTCACCTGGTTTATTTAATGAACAGAAGCTTAGGTGGGCACACAATACATAATTTGGGCTAGATTTAACTCCTAGTAGAATATTGCGCTTGATTAAGATGATAACTAACTATATACTAGTTTATACTAGTTTACAATTACATGATATACAATTACATAGTATATTGGTTATCTCGCTCTACCTAATATGGAAGCTTGATATCCTATTCAAAAATAGTTTCAATTTTCGTCTATATTCTAGCCATTTCCATGATATCATAACTTAAGCTTGTGCGATACACTCAATCTCAATGACGGTACCATTTCCAGGGGCAACCGCTTGAAGACATGAGCGCGATGGCATTGGCTGTGGGAGGAAATCGATGTAGGCTTCGTTCATAGCGGCGAAATCCTTCATGTCAGCGAGGTAGACATTGTACTTGACGACCTGCTCAAGGGAAGAACCGGAAAGCTCCAGGACCTCCTTCAGGTTCTGCAGAACGATTCTCTATGTAAAAGCAACAAAGAGTCAGCCATTGCCTTATGCGATAACTGCTTGTGCAATTGAACTTACAGTAGCCTGCTTAATCTCTCCCGTGGCAGTTTGGCCTGCGCAAAAGACTAGCCCGGGAACTTTGACAGCAGGGCCTAAATAGATTGTTTAGTAATTTTCCATATTTATTCCTCAACAGAATCTAAGGTATTTTGCGTGCAGATACTCACAGTTATGAGGCTTGGTAGGGAACTTCTCGCTCGAGATGAGTTGACGGGACATCTTCGTTGATGATTTTGAAGGGTATTGGAGTTCCTTGGTGGTGCAGTTTCAATAGTGTGTCAGGAAATTTGAAATGTAGAAGTACTAGACAATAAGCTTGTTTAAATTCCTCAAGCCACCCCTCGTTCCTTTCTATCCGAGGCATCTTGCCAACCAAGGAGAGGGGCAATTCTCATTATCGTTATGGAGGAGCAGTCTTTTCTTGGTACTAGCTGATTCGATATCCCTCTTCCAGTATGGCGGGAGGAGTGGGAGGAGCGAGAAATGGGAGGAGCACATGATTTTGGGTAGAGAATTGCGGCCATGTTCCTCGAAATGTCTATCAGTGCGTAAATCCCCGCCTAGTAATCAATATTTCCCATGTGGCCGCAATCAGCGCTTGTCTGCGCCTCTGACCCTCGGCAATGCCCTGGTGTAAATCCTTTCCTAACTTGGGTCTAGCGCCAACTTTATAGTTTATGCTTAAGATTTACCTAGTTAGGAAACACCTCCAGGGCTCCAGGGCGATACATGCGCTAAGGCAGAGGAGCCCCCAAGGTTCAGTTTATGATAACAAACAGTGAGCTGAAATATCGGAGAAAATGGGGAATGCAACAGGGAGCATCCAAACATGACGATTATCACCCCCAAAACTCGTGGCGCACTAGCGGATGTCGATAACCCTCCTGCTCTCATCTCATTCAATCTAACTGAATGAAGCATGCCAGACTTACCTCCCCGGATATCGGATACACAGATAAGGTTTCAAGTCTCTTCATCAGATTAGTATAAAGATATAAAACTCGAACAGATTCAATCTTCCATGTTTTGTCTACAGCATCGATCACAACATTGGACATTATTTGCATATATATCATATCACCATGCCGCGTTCAGCTCCTTTCAATCCTCCTGCGCCTGACCTGCCTGGCAAACCCTTTGTCCCAACATGGGTACCACCGCCAGTTACCCAGCAAAAGGAGAACTTTGCCGAGCTTAGTTCCATTGATCTTTCTTTGATGGACTCGGATGACCCTGCCGTTGTCGAGAAGCTTGTCCAGCAGGTTAAGGTTGCCATTCGTGATGATGGATTTCTTTTCCTCGAAAACTACGGAGTCTCCCTAGAGCAGGTAAGTCTTAGCTCCCAGGATATTTCGAAGACCAACGTTGCTAACAACGTATCCATTACAATAGCTCCACCGCCAATTCTCTCTTGCACAGTACCTATACCAAAACATTAGCGAAGAGGACAAGAAGCGCCTTCTGTTCGATCCTGAAACCGGTGTTTGGTCAGGCTACAAACACCCTTACGGATTCAAGGTAAGAGAGTCTCCTTCATGCATCAAGAAAATCCAACACTGTACTTACTCTCCCTTTTTGTGATTAGCGCGAGCGTGGACCCGAAGACGGCATTGAGCAGTTCAACTGGTACAAACCAGACTGGAACGATATCACCCGTGTGCCCACGTGCCTCCACCCCTTTATGGACGAGATCGAAGAGTTCGCCAACTATCTGACGAAGTCCGTCAACCGTCGCCTGTTGACTCTGTTCTCCCGCGTCCTCGAGTTACCCGACGACTATCTCTGGGACAACGTTCAGTCACACGGTTGTCCAACTGGCGAGGGCTACTTCCGCCATGCACTTTTCCGCCCCGTCCAGAAGAAGACTGAAGAGGCATCCAAGGGCCTGCGTATGCACGGTCACACCGACTTTGGTCTGACAACATTGCTCTTCTCTGTCCCCATTTCGTGTCTCCAGATCTGGGGCCGCGATGAAAAGTGGTACTACGTACCCTACAAACCCGGTGCGCTTGTCATTAACATCGGTGACACCCTGGAGATTGTTTCTGGTGGCCATTTTAAGGCTACTCGTCACCGTGTTTACAAGCCTCCTGTCGATCAATTGCAGCAGGAGCGTCTCTCGCTGGTGCTTTTCAACAGTTCTGTTGGTGATTTGCGCATGGGTCCTGCAACAGGTTAGTAGATTGAGGTCAAGGCAAATGGGTAAGGACCACGCTAACATCATCTTTCGTAGATTCTCCTCTTATTCAAAGAGTGGGCTGCGTTGAGGAACAGGGTGTCTACAAGGAGTTCAAGAATCTCACATCCCAAGGGAAGCTTGTGCCTACCAACCGTCAATGGCGCGAAATCCAGATCGCTACCGCTACGGATCCTACGGATCAAGAGCGCAACAGAGTCGGTGCTGACCAGGTCGTCATTGATGGCAAGATTATGCACCAACGCGAGTACATGGGCGTCAAGGTTGTTCTGCCTGTTTAAACTAAGAGGCAGGTAATGATTGGAAGGGTCTGTTGCTTTGATTTAATTACCCTTAGCCTTTCTGGATGATTTATGCCCACAGATTGTACGCAAGATTCAGATATATGTAATTTCAATTTGATATCTCGTTATATTCATACATTTTTTACGTAGTATAGAATGCGCAGCTGACAACCCAGGTGTACAGCCACGGTGGACTCGGGTCACTCAATATCGCCATATCCCATCATAAAATACTATGTATCCCTGGCCAATATTCTTAGATTGGAAGTTCGGATGGACCAACCAATTACTATCACGGCTTCTCTCCCAACATCCCTATAGGGACATGGCATTTGTGCCTCATCTCACCTTGTGATTTGTCCCAGTCTTCGAAAGTAGTATTTCTGAAATAAAATCTCCAACACCGCCTCTGATGAACACCATGAACTGCGTAAAACAATACTTTTTATTTTTCCGGCATAGAAGATATCAAGAGCGCTGTTGAGATCCAAGATTGTGTAAATACATTGTCCTTAATTCTAGAAACTATTTCAACCCTCCAGCTAGGAGGAGACTCTGGCCCGTCATGTACCCAGTCTTCGCTAGCATAGTAACAACGTTCGCTGTTTCTTCTGGAGTTCCTAGCCGCTTTAAGGGGATACCCTCTACCACTTCGGGGAATGCCGCAGCAGAGGAAAGCATGCCGGTGTCACCGATCATAGCTGGGGCCACGTCGTTGACGCTAATGTTGTGCTCTGCTAGGCGGGTTGAGAGGTTCTTCATCATACCCGTAAGACCACCCTTGGAGGCTGCATAGTCTAGAATGGAAGTTTGAATCAGAAGTTGCTTTCGATAAATACAAGGATAGTAGACCAAGGGTAGTGGACTTACGACAACCGTTAATTCCTCCGCCATGAGCGGCGATGGAGGACATGAAGATGATCCGTCCCCACTTCTGCGCCTTCATGTGCTCTACCACCCCTTTGACAAGAATGAATCCAGCGCGCAGGTTGATGTTCATAGTGTGATCAAACTCCTCGAGCGAGATATTCGACACATCGGGAATTCGCTTGCCATATCCAGCATTTGATATAAGAATGTCCGGTCGTTGACCATGCTCAACATCAATTTGTTGAAACATAGTCTCGATTTCATCGCTAGACCCAACATCAACCTGGTGGATTGAAATGCGAAGCTTCTGCGTGGCGTTCTTGGAGTGTATATCTGCGACAATTTTGTTCAAGGATGTCAAATTGGTCGAGTAGGTCAAAGCGAGATGAACTCCATGTTGTGCAAGTTGGTGTGCGCAAGCTGCTCCGATTCTGAGACCAGAGAATTGACGCAAATCAGCCTCATGTCCTTGTATAAATGGTCAGTATCATGCCTACCCTCCCGATGCGCCGGTGATCAAGGCTAATCTACCCCCAATGTCGTTAAACGCCATTTTTGCGGATATAAGAAGCCGAAGTATACTGATCCACCAAGAAGATTAAAGAAGATATTGAACAAACGTTGGACCCCAATATAACCCTATCGGAGTTAGAAGCCGTCGAAAACGTTCCTGTTAGTCAGGCTGCAGGCCGTCTATTTCCACGCATAGTACGGAGTATGTTCCATAGAATAAGAATAGTGCAGATGGGTAGTGGGTTTGTCAATGAAGGAGCTCCTCCCAACGCTTTCAACAGCTAAATATAGATTCTTGTAGAATCAACCTCATTATCTATCTAACGTATTGGTCCTGAATTTCACAAATTGGTTTTCCAAGTTCTTTCTGTTTTCGAGGAGATAAGTCGTATGTATGGTAGGTGTACCTTGTAAAGGGAATGGACAATGGACTTATTGTGGCCTAAGGCATTAGCAGTCATTACTTTAAGGCACGTGATGATATATTTCCTTTTTCTTAACAAACGTCCCCTATATTTTCGTGTTATATATTGCCCAACATACATCCAATAAAATCTTCTCATCCCCGACGCTCACTGAAGGATATTTGTCTGTGGAAAGTGTTGATTTACTCAAATACCCAGTCGGTGAATTTTTAGCGCATCTCCAGGTACTTCGTGCTACCGAGGCATTACAGTGGCCTGTGTCCCACATGGCTGATCCCCGCTATGGCTCCTACACGGATCTAGCCAAGAACTATGAGGGGCGACTAGATAGCCTACTAGAACAGGGGATCTTTAAGCCAGTTTTCCTATATCATGTTGTCATCATCAACATTTTACCTTTGATAGGTCTGGTCATTCCTCGCAGCAGGGGCGGACAATTTGTTCGAAAGGGCCTTTTCGTCCTCTGCATTGCAATTGCAATTGAAAATTTACAAAACCGACGGGCAATTATAGGAGGAAATGGCTACATGCTTGGCCTGATGACCGCGTGGTGGTTAGTATGGAATGCCACGTTGTTTGTGTTTACAGACCTTGAAAATGATTTCAAGCGCATTGAACGGAAGCCTCTGGATATCAAGTCTCAAAATGATGCCGAGGTTGAAAATAGTACTGTCAGAAAGTCGACCGACTCGGGCGACCCAACGTGTACCCAACGGGACAACAACCTTTTTGTTTGGCGGTCATATCCCGAAAAGTTTTGGCATCGTCTTGAGTGGTCCGCTGGGCTACTCTTCAACCTGAGGGGGCCAGAATGGAACTGGCGGGCTTCCCATCTGGGTCCTCTTCCACGACCAATCCACAAACAATTGCATTCAGGATTCATGGGCAGAGTCAATGCACATGACCCCTCCACATATCCTAGCGGCAAACACCGCCTGCAGGCTGCCTTTCGCAAGTTCTTCATATCTTACCTTGTGCTGGACGCCTTGAAAGTCATAATCCTGATGCCAGATACCTACTTTCGAGGCTTCATTTCAGCTGATTCACTGTTACCATTTCCATTTTTCTACTTCACAAGCATTACATTGCATCCTGCCATAGCCCAGCTCTGTCGTCGTTTATACAGTGCCATAAGCGTTTACGTTGCTATTGAGTTCGTGACATCACTCAATCCGATATTCTTCCTGGGGCTATCTCTCGCATTCCCCAACGGGGCTAAGAATCTGACCGCCGCACCATTGGGTGCTTCATGGCTGTATTCCGATGCATTCGGCCCATTCTTCACCACAGTCCTTGATGGAGGGCTGGCGGGCTGCTGGGGTCGTTGGTGGCACCAAATTTTCCGGTACGGATTCGTAGCTTCAGCACGCTGGATCTTATCCGTGCTTCCGGCCGGCTTGGCTTCCCATCTGCAAGTCCGTCGTGTCACTTACGTGATGGTGGCCTTTGGTCTTAGCGGCTTTGTGCATGCCTGTGGAAGCCATACTCAGATTGAAGATACATCCCCGGTCTCTGGGCCATTCCTATTTTTCGCTTTGCAGGGTATTGCAATCATGGCAGAGCAGTTTTTCAAGGCATCGGTTCTGCCAAAATTGCCTTTTGCTCGTACTCCTAGATGGCTGAGACGAACGGCAAACTTTGTGTTTGTATTCTGTTGGTTGATGATTTCAGGTGGCCTCATCGCGGATGACTTTGCCAAGGGTGGCTTATGGTTGATGGAGCCTATTCCAATTAGTCCACTTCGTGCATTGGGATTTGGCCTACAGGGCCAAGGTTGGTGGTGCTGGAATGAGCCCTGGTTCCGGTACTGGAGTGATGGTACATACTGGGGGAGCGGCATACGGGTGTTATAGAATTGATAGATATAAAATTTTAGATTACTTTCAAGATCCTTGAAGTCATTCATGTGCATGGAGTAAATTACATGATCGATTCAAGCTGTTATAAGGCCTATAATTACATCGTCTACCCTTCCATTGTGACATCGTCATCCTCTTCGTCGGTGTCAGACTCGATATTCAACGTGGGCAATTCATCATCGCTATCCTCAACAGCCTCCTGTGGAGCCTGCGCGGTCACGGTCGTAGACGTAGTTGTCACATGCGTTGAAAGCTTTGGGGCCTCAGTCTTGGTGATTGCAGGGGCTGTCTGAGAGAAAGGCTGTTGGCTCGAGGTGGCTGGGATGATTTCGTCGAATCGCGCCTTCTTAGTCTGGACATCCTGCTTCTGCGGTGTTGACTCCTCGGCTGTGGATTCCTCGGTGAAGGTTCGCTTGTGGAAAGTAGGTACCGGAATTGCAGCCTTCGAATGGTCTGACTTCGGGACTTGCAGGGGCACCGATACAGGTTGCTTCAGGAATTCGGCAGTCTTTGGGGGCGTTGTATGAATCATCGGCCATGTCCTCGTCTTCTACTTCTTCGTCTTCATCGACATAGGCGTCAAGCTCGGGCGCAGTCATCAGGACAGGCATCCTAGGACGAACCAGGGCCTCCACCTCCATCTGATCAGCATAAGGCCTAGTCAAGAATGGAATGATACTCGAGCCAGCTCCACGGCCCTTGACTGCCGGAACAGGGTTGAGCACGCTAGCAAACATCGCATCCTTGTCGGACGTCAAAATAATGGAGCGGTCCATTTCGGCCCTGATGGAGGGCGGAACAAGCTCCGCGGGGATAGAAACGAACACTGCCTGCAAAAGCCCAGATGCATTTTGCTGAACGTCCAAAATGGAGTGGCCGCTTGTGCCTGGCGGGATTTCTGAAGATCAGGGTTCAGAAAGGCGTCCGCATTGGCTGCCCTTGTCCGCCCTTTGACTTTGCTTTAGAATCAGAGCCCGAATTTGCCGTGGAGCTGGAATCTCCAGTCGGCGGCAATATATCATTGCAGCAGGAGCGTAGAACGTCTGTCAGAGACACCACGCTCTGTTTCGTCATCGCAGGTCCGTTCACCGGCACCAGAGAACGAAGCAGACCATAGACTGCCGAACGCAGGTCTCTATTAAACCTTTCGCCCTTGAAAGTCCACACAGCCTGCTCTAGAATAGTGTGGGTCACTGCGGTTGCGCTGGTTGCCAATATACCCACAACGTTGGAAAGCAAGCCCATGCATGCAATGTGAATGCGAGGCAGCTCCATCCAAAGTGCCTCTCGCTCGTCACGGCTGATTTCCTGGTTGAACTGAATACCGGATTGAGATGACGCGGCGCCATTGGGCGGAACAGTAACAGAAGTAAGTCGGGAGGTTAGATCAAGGATAGAGCCAATGGGAAGTGCAACTGCAGCTGCGGATGGCATCGAGATGAAACCAGAAAGAATCTGCAGAAGTGCAATCAACCTATCCACGCCCGAGTGCAATCCGCTCCAACCTGGAAGTCCAAGGCCATCTGAGCTCCCATCACCCATTTCTTGGCTATAGTTTGGCCGTGTGTGCATCAGAGTCGCATCGACAGACTCCCACTGCTCTACAACGGCTCGGAAAACGTGGTCTGTGGTTCGGTGAATGGACAAAATGGTAGACTTGCAATCATCTTTCCATCCGGAACCCGCCTGATCCTTGGGTGCGCACTTGTGGAGAGAGACAAGCAGCTGCTCAGCTGCGTCGATCACATGCCCCGGGAAATACGCAGGCGAAGAAGAGCCAATTACTTCGGCAAGGAGAGTTCGAAGCTGGGCACCAAACGGACGGAAGATGGTAATATGTCTTGGGATCAATTCCAACAGGGCGTGCAGGACAATTTCCATGAAAGGAGTGCTAGGCTTCGGCTTTCTAATTGAGCCCAAGGAAGTCTTCGTGATGGTAGAGACCAAGTTCAAGGCGGCAGTAATGAATCCCGGAAGCTGCGGGGTTGTTATTTCACGGACAAGTGTTGGGTACTGGTATGTGAGGTGGAAAATACGAGTTAGTGTGATAATACACATCTTTCTCGTGGAGATTGGATCGGGTTTCTAGAAACGCATAAGTCAATGGTGCCAACATAGATAACGGGGCCCAAATTAGTTCATACAGCGAGGATGCTGATCAAGCTGCGGACAATAGGCTCATAGCCGCGCAAGATTTCCCATTGACCGGCTTCGACTGTAGCTTTCACTAAAATAACGGCGGTCCATCTTCCCTCAACACTGCGGTCCTGCAACAGACTCGCCAGTCTCAGTCTTCAGTTTGTGGATCTGGACAGCATTATCGGAGTCGGGTTTTCCAGATTTCTGAGTTTGAGGGGTAGAGAGCAGCTCAGCGCAATCGGTCAATGAAGTCGCAAGGAAGGAAGCTATCGAGGGTAATTGCTCGACCGGAGTGGTTGTGAGGCGATGCGTGATGGCGCGCAAAGTAGTGGAAGACATAGCTATTGGAACAGACCTGTATAACAGGACCTCACTCGAAAAATCAGTCCAATTGCTAGAAAAGTGAGTGCAGACAAAAGGTGGAAGTCTCTTATCGATAACTTTTTTTTTTCCCATCAAAGCTCGGACCAACGTCAACTGTCGGTATTCTAAGGTTAAATTACCGTCACGTACGTAATCGCTCTCCACCCCTGGACGATCGTCAGGCTTCAATGTTCACACTCGCGACCTCGGGATGTTGGCGAAGCTTGGTTGATCTTCTCCCTTTTATATCATTCACAACTCTCCTGAACCATGGCTGTAAGTGTCCTCTTGTGTCTTGTTCAACGTCTGCTAGTCTATTTTTTTTCTTCTAAATCATTGATACCACCCAGTATTTATGTTGACACGTGCGAACCAGGGAGGCAATGCCGAGAAGGGACAGGCCTATATCGCGGCCTTGGACCAGGCGCGGAGTCAGGGCAAATGGGATGAAATCCCCGAATTGATCCGAAAAGTCACAAAACACGCACCACAAAAGACTTGTACGCCAACAGCCCCTAGTTTATTGATCTCAGCCTAACCGAACTGCCTCTAGGCCAAATACAGACCGCAACAGCGGAATCGCGTGTGGTTGCTTATCTTCAACAAAAGTCCTCCGGCGACTCATCTTCTTCCTCGCCTAGCCTTGTCGAGCTGATTCCGGCCCTGTTGATGACAATCGAGAATAATGACGGATCACCACAAGAGTTATTGCAAGCGCAGGTCTGTCTGGGGTGGGTACATTGGGCTTTGAATGAACCTGGACTTTCGGCAGCGCGTCTTCCTAAGGATTTCGCGGCAACACTTGATAGCTTGGCCAGTGGAGGCGAGCAACCTACTTCGTGGACCGAGGTCTGTTTAGTGAAGGGATGCTACATCAAGGGTATGTTTACTTTGTTTACTTCCGGATGTAGCCAGTTCTAGATCTGACAGCAAAACAGCAACCGCACAATCCACCGCTGCAGACACCAATGAGGCACTGGAGACATTTGCATCTCTAATTCCGTGGCTAAGCGGCGGCAAATTAGCTTCAATCACCACCCCGCAATTCCTGAACTGGTCCGAGTCACTTATGGGCAATGGTGCCCTTTTGGCCAGTGCCGAAGCAACCAAACATACACCCTATTCGAATCCTGAGACATGCGGAAATTGCCTTGCAATTGTTCAGATTGTGGGCGGCTCATCCTACCGTGAGACAGGGGGTCTCTGCTAACCACCCATCGAATGAGGGTTCCTTCGGGCCGGCTCCCCGAGCATTGGTATGGACTGCTTATTACAGGTTTCTCACCGCAGTTCTACAGAGCGGGCTTACATACACAGGCCCCAACGATGGACCGGACCGCCCGCAACTTTGCAGTGAATTGCGCCGCGTAGAGACTATCTACGAACGCAATCTTCTCTCTGAAGTCATGTTTCCTACGGCCAGCTCGCAGAACTCGCAGGTCGAGGAATGGGTGGAGCAGGTGATCAGTAACTGGCAAGTCTTGTGTGGGCCTGGGTGGCAGGATTCAGACCTTGGCGAAGGAGGCCAAAATGCGGTTGGTCGTAATGTTTTAGAGGTGAGTCCAACAACGGATCTCATCAAATCGCATGCACTAAAACTTGTTGTTCTAGATTCTGTACCGGGCAGCGGCAAAGACCTACCACTCTCATTTGGTACTCCGACGTCTCTTCCACGTTCATTCTGCCTTGGCAGACTTTGACCTTGCTGTCAAGGCCCTCGATTCCTACATCGAGATTGTCACTGCAGCCAAAGAAAGGGCAGAGAAGTCTGCTGAGTCCGGGGAGTTAGAAAAGGATGAAATATTGCTGCAGACCCTCTCTGAAGGAGTCACATTATTGAGCTGTCTTGGCTCGTTCGAAGAAGCAGAGAAAGCCCGAGACCTGACTGAAATGATAAGAGAGTATATTGAGAAGAACAAGGCACCCCCCACAAACGGTCGGGTCAATGGCAATTATACTAACTTGCCAAACATCCCTCCCTCTGTGCTGGCCTCCTCCTACCGAGCCATCGGTGTTGGACTTGCCTGCTGGGCAAGCTGGACCCCTGTGAACGAATCACGCGATGAAATTAGAGCTGATGCGATCGACTATCTCGAAAAGAGTCTTGCTCCAGAATTGGGAAATAGCTCAAACTATTCCTCACTTTATACTCTAGGCCTTGTCTTGGCCGAGAACAGAGATTTGGACACTGCAATTGACTATGTCAAGTCAGCTCTGACGCCAAGCAGCTCGTCCACTGCGGTTTCTGATGATCTTTCCAAAGAACGTGACTTGGTATCTCTGTGGCATCTACTTGCGCTGCTGCTGAGTGCGAAGCAAGAGTTCGAGATTGCTGGGCGTTCATGTGAGGCTGCATTCGAGCAGTTTCCCCGGGAACTATTCTCGAAAGGCCATCGCGAACGGCGTTCATCGAGGCATTCGCAAAACCCCAACCAGCGCCCGCTTGTCACAAGGTTGCAAGGTAGAGAAAAAGAGCGCATCGTCCAAACTCGCATTACACAGCTTGCGTTCATCGAGCTTTTGGAAGGGCCCGAAGCTGCTGTCAACCACAGCACACAATTATTGAGTCTTTTTGGCACTCTTTTCCAGGACCTGGACCTCGAGGCTGGGGAGACTAAAGCCAAGGCAGATCACCTAGTACCACCAAAGAGCTCTGCCGGAACTACCAAGAGCTTCCGTGGAAGCATTTTCGGCCGAAACAGAACGACTCAGCTACCAGATCGTAGTAATGGTTCTGATGCCATCATTCCACCAACCCCAGCTATTCCCAATGGTCATATGACGGATGCCCCGTCAATCCAAGTCACGGACGAAGATCCCCACAGCCGCCAGGGAAGACCGCCAACAATCGGGAGGGCAGACTCCAAAAAATTGAAAAAGCGAAGTTCAAGCTTTCATAAAAAAGAGAGGCCGCGTGTTGAAGAGCCCCCGCTTCCTAATGGTGGTGAAACGTCCGCAGAAATGGTCGGCATTGCATTTTCTGGTAACACAACACCAGAGTCCACGATCCAACCTACCAAAGGCAAACAAGCACTGCCGGTGATGGCACACAACATGGACTATAAACAAGTACTTTCCCCTGCGGGTCACGAGGAACAACCACCTAAGCAGGATATCCGGCTCCCAATCTCTCACCGTTTCGACTCCCCTACAAGCGCCGTCACGAAGTTTTCTCTAGTTCAATCCCAGAAGCACGCCTTAGGCCTTCTCATCAAAATCTGGCTTGTTATCGCTGGTCTTTATCGCCGAGCGTCTCTGTTTGACGATGCCCGTGAAGCTTGCGAAGAAGCTTCAAAACAAGCTGCGCGAGTGGAAGCACTTGTCGCATCGCATGAATCCTCGGCTCGATCTTTTAGCAAGCGCGGCTGGGGTGCTTCAAAAAGCTCCGAGGAGCTCTGGGCTGATGTCTACGCTGAACAAGGTCTCCTGTCTCAGGCTCGATCGAGCCCCCATCAAGCCATCAGGCACTTTGAGGAAGCGCTGCTGCGCTATCAGGACCACCCCACGGCGACTATTGGACTCGCCAATCTTCTCTTAGACATTTGGGACCAGAAATTGGCTCCAGAGCCATCGAATGTCGACGTGGATCTTAATGCCTCACGGCTGTCATTGCTGTCAGAGACCCCTAAGCCCAAGTCCGCGAAGGCTATCTCGACCGACGATCTCAAGGTATCAAGCGAGACCGAGAATGCGGGCCCGGAAGAGGCTCCTCTATCTGCACATGATGTCGAGCCTAAGCAACTGCATCGTCTCGCCGCCCGCGATCGCGCGTATGGGCTTCTCTCCGCCTTAACAAAGCTCGGAAGCTCATGGGACAACTCCGAGGCATGGTATGCGTTGTCGAGAGCATATGAGGCTGGTGAGCAGGTCGAAAAGCTGAAAGAAGTGCTTTGGTGGTGCATTGAACTGGAGGATCGACGGCCAATTCGGCACTGGTCCAATATCGGCTCCGGTGTCTATGTTCTTTAATAAAGGCAACAAAATCCTGTATCTTCTTGTATCTACTTCATTTGCCCCCGCCTCTAGGAACGGGATTTTTTCTTTTTGTTCGACGAGATACCTTGTTTATACCATGAGGGCCTATTACTAAAATTTCATTGAGGCGCAATTTTAAAAACGGACTTTCTTCGTAAAAAAAAAATAAGCACTACTCGCAAAACGTCTTTATATACATTTCCCAAATCGACGAATGTGTTGCCAATGGGTGAAAATCGGAGAACGGGATCAGTTGAACGGCAAAACAAGTGGATTGATTCTGCTACTGCAAATAAATCTACCGCGGAGCAGCGGTGGGAGTCCAGGCAGCGATCTTGGGCCGGGTGCTAGGGTGATGTTAGTCAATACACGGAAAAGACCGAAATGTCGCACACAGGGACATAGCACGTACGTGGAGTAAGTCTTGTATGCAGCGCGGCTCAGAGTCGGGTTGGGGAGGTGGTCAGACTGCTCCCAGGGACGGAAACCGGACTGCATGATCTTGTCGGCGTGCGGGGGCCCGTCAACGAGGTAGGAGATCCAGGCGTGCCTTGACCAGGTTAGTTTCACATAATCGCAGGTGCATTGGTGACCCAGTACACCGAGAGAAGCGCTTACCAGCCAGGCTCAATGTGGGATGCGTCGTATTCGGCCTCCTTGTAGTCGACCCATCGTGTTCGGACTAATCGGGGAAGTACCATTAGAACTTCGTGTTTCAATGTGATAGTATGAGAAGACTCTTCTTACGAGGCAATTCCTCCAGGTTCTCGAAGTATTTGTTTCCGAAGCGGTCGATTCCGATCAGAGTTCCGGCCTTGGTATCACCTGTAAGAGCGCGTATTGTTAGTCAACTGCTGGGCAGACATCGATGAAGTGGCTACATACCGATGTACTATACCACAGCGAACAGGGACACTGGTTAGTCTCGAGCTCATCCAATTGACCTGCTGTTCCGGCCGAGGCGTCCGTAACCTACCTGCATCTGGTGGGCGGCATCCTGT